CTTGCAACCATACTGACAGGAAACTCCTGCGCAAGCCTCTCTTTCTTTCTTTCTTTCTTTCTTTCTTTCTTTTTTTTTTTTTTGTTTTTTGTTTTTTTTGTTTTTTGTTTTTTTCGAGACGGGGTTTCTCTAAGTAGCCCTGGCTGTCCTGGAACTCACTCTGTAGACCAGGCTAGCCTTGAACTCTCGAACTCAGAAATCTGCCTGCCTCTGCCTCCCAAGTGCTGGGATTAAAGGCGTGCGCCACCACCGCCCGGCCAAGCCTCACTTTCAAGGTGAGGAATTTTGGCTAAGGGAGAGCATCTTGCCCAAGGTCACTAAGCTACTTATGGGAGTATCATCTTGGTGGAATAATTATCAAATAAAATAGTAAGTGAAGGAACAATGCACTAAAATTCTCCTCTGTGTACCTGGCTGGGAAATTAGCATTTTAAATTATTAGTATGTGGGACAATGTCACCCATAGAAAACGAAGGAGGATGAGCTGGGGCTGGTGGCCCACGCCTTTGATCCCAGCTACTGTTCCAGGGCAGCTACAGGACTACACAGAGAGACCCTATCTTGAAAAACAAACAAAGACAACAACAACAAAGCAAACAAAATGATAAACTATAAACACATCTGATAAAGTCATCACTGAAAAGACACTGCAGATGGACTTGGTGGCATGTGTCTGTTGTAATTCCAGAGCTTTGGAAATGGAGTGAAGTTTTGGGGCTCAAAGATTAGGACTGTGGCAGTCTCTGATGCTAGGTCTCAAGCCCAGGAGAAAAGGCTAAAGTGTCTATAGGCTCAGCCGTCCCATCGATAATATACCAAGGAAAGGACCTGTAACTGGGAACAGCAGGGATAGATTTATTCACTATGTCCCGTTGGGAAGAACAAATAAAGAGGCCAATGCCACTCAGTCTTTCAGGCATTAGCAGGAGGATTATGGGTAAATAGAGCAAGGGCTAGGCATAATTAATAGTTCCTATCACCATTTCAGTTGTAAGTCTGTCCTAAAAAGTGGTCCTAGAAAATAAACCATGAAATCTCTTCCTTGGAATCAGTTTCTTCTTCTTTTCCCTTTTACCAGCATGTGATTCCTGGAGAAATTTTAATTCATTGGCATCCAGTATTTCCAATAGTCTTACAGCTCAATGGTGGGATTAAGAGTTCAAGGCCAGCCTCACCTACAGGGTAACTTTCAGGCCAGCCTGGGTTACAGGAAACCCTATCTCATAAACTCCACCAAAGCTCTGTTTAGATTGTGCTTTTGAATTCTTTCACTGATTTCTAAGTGTTGAAGATTTCCACTGCCTCCAAACCTTGGTTTGAGGGCCAGAGGTGGGCAGGAAGGAGAGTGACATGCTAAGGACACATTGTAGAGACCTTTCCCTGCCTGGTGCCTGAGTTGGCCTCTAGTTCTCCACAGAATTTACCATTTGAGCACAAATAGGTGCCAGCAAAAAGGATGTTTCGTGTGTAGTTCAGAGTAAGAAGCCAGGCTCTGGAAGCCAGGGAATCCACTGCCACCATGATTATTCACTTATCAATGACTTTTTTTTTAAAGGTAAGTCTTATTCAGTTACTTTGGGACAGGGCTGTGAGTCAGAGGCTGGCAGCAAAACCAGAATAGAAGTCACAGTCTTCTCTGGGGATTCTACTCCTGGCTTCGAATCCCCAGATCACAAAACTTTCTAATTGGAAAAAAAAGTTCTTAAACAAGCGCAGGGATTTGTTGGAGCCTGACAGTGACTAATAAGGTCGGTCTAAGAACTGCCTGATGAAAGGGAAGTTGGATTCACATGTCACCGTGAAATTTTAAAAGCATTTCCACCCGAGCTTTACTGCTGAGTGTAAATTGGGCAATCTCCCCCCCTCCCCCGCAGATATTTCTAAGCTAAATAACTCTGAACTGACACTCAAGCATAGGCTTCTCTCAAATGCCTTTGTTTACTGCAGGATTTTATTGACAAACTGACTCACGAAGTTCCTGTGTAAACTGAGTGTTTCTCACCTTTCAGCCCGAGGACCAATGGAAGGAGGGTTTTATATCTTCTCTATAGCCGGTGTTGGGTAGACCTTAAATTGTATTCACCTAACTGTGGACCAAATGGCTCACACGCTTCCATTAAGAAAATTATCTAGGGTGCTCTCACAGTATCCGGGTAAACACAGTGCTGTCATTTAAAGCTCATTGCTGACAATCACACTCCTGAAGGCAGTTCCTGAAGGGGGTGGCGGGGGGGGGGGGGGGCGGGGAGGGTTGTTGTTTTATTCAACATCATCTTCTCAACAAAAGCAGCTCTTGGCTTAAACGAACTGTGTCCGAAGTAGCTGTCCCTCTCCAGGAACAGGCGCGCAGGCGCGGGCACTCACACGTGGACACACACACTGACACGCGCCTGCCCACACCCCCTGCGCGTGACTCGCCTATGGGATTTACGGGCTTCTCCAGCAAGGATTATTGTCAGGTGCAGAAAGCAGCTCTTTGTTCGGTGGGCATCCCCCCTCCCCCCACCACCACCATTTGACTTATTTACGGGCCATGTGAGCACTGGGTAGGGCCTGGCCGGCGGGGGGCAGGGAGAGCACCCCTGACGCTGGAGAGACAAAGGCTAGCGAGGCCAGCGCCACCGGAGGAGGGGAAGGGGGGGACACTCCACACTCACCCCCCTCTGTGACTCCGGTGAAATCGGCTGATGATATTTGCATCCGGAGATGAGGCCTGCTGGCCGCTAGATTTGTAAACTGCGGGGAGAGGCCCCACGAGAGTGGGTCTGACCCCGGCTGTCGAGGCACCCGGGATGTCTAGCACCCATAGCGGGCCAGCGAGAGGGAAGCACTAGATGTTCTCAGAGCTCCCTCCGAACCAAGAGAAACAAACCACTTGGCCCTCCTCGCTGGTGTAGGGCGCCCTTGCCTCTCTCCCAGCCGGAATGCACGGTGCCCGAGACCTTGCCCCAGGCAGCCGATGTCACTCCAGGGTTGTGGCTCCTTCCGGAACCCGAATTAGAGTGATCGCACACCCCGGGCATCAAAATATAAGGTGCGTTAGGGAATCGCTAATATGTCAGCAATAAATTAATACGCATGTAATAGTTTATTTTTTTAACTGAAAAAAAAATCCATAAACAAAATTTTAAAAATGCAGTGCCATTTTGGAACCCGAGAAAGGAAAGATCACCACAGATGATTGTCTCCCCCCCACCCCCCGCCAGCCCACTGGACCCAGAAGAGGGTGTCGGGGACTTGAGAGTGCAGAGGAGAAGGCCTTGAAATGGGGAGGTAGAGGTGATCTCCGGAGAGATGCTCTGCAGAGAACAATAAAGGGTAACAGAGTGGAGGGCGCTGAACGGGGCGGGAAGGACCCTAGGCTACGGCGGGCGGCCCTCGCTACCTTAGGCTTCCACTCCGACCTGAAAAGGAATATTCGACCGGGCCGCTACCAACCTCGGAGCGAACCCCGTAATTCCCTTGTTCGGTGATTAATTCCTGCTAACAAGACTTGGCAAGATCTCGGCCCAATAATTTTTTGGCTTCTATAAGGTCCCCACCACATGCGCGCACAACCTCCCCTCTTGCCAAAATCAAGCCCTTGGGAAATTAAATGCCCCCCGGGAAAGTAAAACGGGAGTACAGATGCTACGTGACCTGGAAAGAGGGATGTAGAAGCTCGAATCGTCTCCGAGCTTATTAAATTTGCTTTTCAAAAGGTCATTCCTCGCGTGGACACTTTTCAACATCTTCCTTCGCTTCAAATGTAGACCTTAACAACAGTCATTTCCTTAAACGACGTTGCGTGTGAGCAAGAGGGAGGCGAGGACTTCCACCAAAGAGGAAAACCTCCGAGTATCCCCCCCCCGGCCCCCAACCGTGGTTAAACGGGGTTTAGGAAGCTTGAGCCGGACTGCCTCCCGTTCTCCAGCACGGGCGCACCATTCGGCCAATTAACGCCCCCCCTCTGGGTTGTAAAGCTGCAAAACCCTACACCTCTCTTTTGTTATTGGGCTTTGGCGCGTTTCCCTTTCATCTTTCTTAGGGTTTGCCCAGGTTCCACGGGAAGCTATAAAACCGATCTAATAGCTCGAGATGGAAACCGATCACGCTAATGTATAAACCAAGTCCCGGGGAATCGCATTCAAAAGAAAACAAAACACAACCCGCAGGACCCGAAGAACAAGACTAAGTCCGGCGAGGAGAGTCCCCAAGCCCTGCGGGGTGGTGGCCGCACAGTGTCAGGTTCCACCGAGCTGCAGGAGGGAGACCTGGGAGACGTGGCGGGGAGCGAGGGGTGAAGACCTCCAAGCTGAGAGCCCAGGCCTCGGTTAGGCCCGCGTCGCCACCCGCTACTATCTCTGCGCCGAACGCCGGGCTCCGGGGCTGAGGAAGGACCAGGAGAGCCGCGCCGCGGCTCCATTCACAAAGTCCGGGAGCTGCCGGCTCGCAGGCGGGTCGGTGGCTGCCTCCTTTTTTTTTTTTTTCTTCTCCCTCTAGGTCTCGGTTTTATGAATGGGCCCTGGCAGCGAGCAACCGAGCGCCCTGTTTACTCCTCTCTTTGTGACGTCGGGTTCCCGTGACAGGGTGCAAGGGGGCCGGCGCTCCATTCACGAGCCGGGGTGGGGGCGGGGCGGGGAGCTTGCGTGGGGGGCGGGGCCTGGCGAGGTAGTAATGACTCTTCCCTCCCCCGGGAGAGCCGGCGAGCATTAATAAATCTCTAAGCCGAGGAGGAAACTCTGGCTGGGGCAGTGCGTGGAGCTCCGGCGGAGCGTTCCGGGGAGGGAAACGGCGGCGCCCACGGCAGGAGCAGCCTAAGGTAGCAAAACACAACCAGAGGCAACAAACCGAGAGGAACCCTCTCTCGTAAACACTCTCCCCTCCTCGGTCATTTGTCCCGGGTGCCGCGCGCCCGCCTGCTTTGGCGCCAGAGAAGGCTCGGACTGCTATGTAACGTCGAGGCTGCGGGAGGAGGAGGAGGAAGGAGTGTGGGAGAGAAGAAGAGCCGGAGGGGCCAAGTTTGCGGGGTCACTTCGGCAGGCGCCCTCTTAGCCCTCGCCTGTTCCTTCTTGTAGCCTAGCTGGCTTGGGTGCCCTTGGCCTTCTCTCCAAGCTCCCCAGCTGCTGAGCGTTTTGCCGGCGACATGGTGACGATGGAGGAACTGCGGGAGATGGACTGCAGCGTGCTCAAAAGGCTGATGAACCGAGATGAGAACGGCGGTGGCGGCGGCGGCGCGGGCAGCAGCGGCAGCCACGGCGCCCTGGGGCTGCCGAGCGGCGGCAAGTGCCTGCTGCTAGACTGCAGGCCGTTTCTGGCTCACAGCGCGGGCTACATCCGAGGCTCGGTGAACGTGCGCTGCAATACCATCGTGCGGCGGAGAGCCAAGGGCTCGGTGAGCCTGGAGCAGATTCTGCCCGCCGAGGAAGAGGTGCGCGCCCGCTTGCGCTCTGGCCTCTACTCGGCTGTCATCGTCTACGACGAGCGAAGCCCGCGCGCCGAGAGTCTCCGGGAGGACAGCACGGTGTCGCTGGTCGTGCAGGCGTTGCGCCGGAACGCGGAGCGCACAGACATCTGCCTGCTTAAAGGTAAAACGTGGGCGCCCGGACGGGAGGTGGAGGGTTAGGGGTAAGGGATTTGGCGGGCCTGAGCCCTGCTGGGCATTGGGAGGAAAGTACCCGAGTGACTTCGGGCTGCTGGAGTCTCTCCTTCCTTGCGTGGCTTTGTGCGTGTCAGTGTGCACGGTTTTGCTATGGTTTTTGAGTCTTAAGTCCTGGGGTGGCCGTGCTGGTGCGTGTCCCCAGTCACCTGCAATCCGCACGCGTACTGGAGTTACCGTGTTTATTGACATGAGCGGTTCTGGCCTGGATGCTGGCACCGATTCCTCTGCGCAGCCCAGTTTCAAGTACTGAGAACGCGCTCTTTAAGTCCCACAGGGACTAGAGAGGCCTGTTTCGGGTCTAATCCCGAGAACCCCAGAGAGGGGTGAAGGAAGGTGAACGGCGAGGTGGGATCTGTACTCGGGAGTTCGTACACAATCGGTAAATGAGGGAAGGAGAATTGAGTTGCAGATCTGGGGAGCGAGCTGTATTTTTTTTCTCCCGCTGCCTCAACTCCGCTTTCTTGGAAGGCAGCCAACCCCCCTTTCCCCGGTCTAAGGGAGGCTGAAGTGCTGTATTGGGGGTGGTGGGGACACCAGGCAGAACTGCGTCTGCTCCTGCTGATCCCGGGAGCAGAGAATTACCACCTTTTGTTCACACATCATTCTCGACTCTGCAAGCGGCGCGTGCCTGGTTGAAGGGAACCCTGGCCTAGGAAATTAGGTGGCCGGAGAGAGGGTGGCTTGTCAGATTTAGAAGTCAGACACCCCAAAAGGATCGCGCAGTATCCCTCATGTCGTAGAAAGGGACCGACCGCTCGCCGCACCTCCCAGCTCGCCCGGTGTGCGGGCCTCCTGTTGGGGAGCCCTGGGATGGAGGGTGGGGGGCGACGGGCGCCCCCTGCTGCGCTGCGCCCCTACCTCCGGCCACCGCATTCCGAGCATTCTTTCGCGAGGGTCGAGTCTTCGCTTCCAAAGCCGGGAGGTTTGCTGGACCTCCGCTTTCCAAGAGTCGCCCATTTCCCTGCAGAGGCTTTTCGCCCCTTCTTCTAGACTTTTTCTCTTGGTATCTTGTCCTCCTTAAGGAGAGGAGGCCGGGAGCGAAACCCTTTCCCCTGTCCCCTCCGAACAGCACCGGGAAGCGGCCGGGTGCGGGCGAGCCGGGCTGGCCCTGCGGAACAGCGGGGGGCTTTGTTCTCCGCAGTTGTTTCCTGACCATTTGACCCGTCAGCTGCTGGGGAAACGCTGCTGTTGACCTGAGGCTGAACTGCCGGGGCGATTTTGCTGACTTTTCTTTCTTTTTCCGCGAGGGCTCCTCCAGACGAGCCCCAGTGTCTCAGCCATCTCCCTAAAACGCTCTAGGAGCGACGGCCAGGAAGACAGGTTCCACGGTCGGAACCGGGCCCCGCGCGGTACCCGGAGCCCTCGATCAGGCTCAGCTCCCGGGTCCTCCCTCCGCGGGGTCCTGCCTGGGCTCCAGGCTGCCCGTCTGTGCTATTGTTCCAGCCCGCATGCCGGCTCTCTGAATCGAGTTCGAGAGGGTGGGAAAGGTGAAACTGTTTTGGGGTGAAAGTTCCAGGCTGTCCTGGATTCCTCGGCCTTTGGATTGAGAGAGTCGGGGCCCCATGCCTTCCAACCCTGGCTTCTGGAGTACTTCAGCCCCACGTGGAGTCAGAGATTGTTTTGTTTTTCTTCCTGGAAGAATTCCGAATGGGACCGCCCTGGAAGGGCAGCTGCCTTGATCCTGAGCCCGTAGGCTTCCTTCCGGGGCGCAGGCTCCCGGGCGGCCAGGCGCCTAGGGAGGGAGGGAGGGAGGGAGGCTTATTTTTAATGCTAAAACCTTATGGCTCGCGGCACTCTACCGGTCCTGATTCGGATCAGGAGACTGAGGCCGGACCAGTTCTGAGAGATGGCTTCAGGGTGAATATTGACGTAAGGCTGCACAGGACTGGTAGCCTCTGGGCAAAATAACAGACAGTCCCATCCGTAGTGGGTGCCTGGCCCACAGAAAGGCAGCATTTCCTTCAAGTCACGCTTTTCACCCTCTTCTTTTACTGGGCCGGAGGATCGGTCCTCTCAAAGTCCATCCATACCTCTCAAAAGCCAAAGGCCTTCCCAGTCCGCTGAGGTGATGCTCACTCATCTAGGTCTGCTCACAGGCCTGGACTGCTTAGTTTTCATCTGTTCATGAACAGTTGCTACCCCACCTTCACCCCCTCTTCTAGCCAGAGAAGTTCAGCAGCCCTTGGAAGCAAGAGTCTAAAGCGATAATGTTGTGTGTGTGTGTGTGGGGGGGGTAAGGGTGGATGTTGCCCCTTGTCCTGTAGAGATACCAACGTCTGTCAGCCTTAGTTTATGTGATTGTGCATGCTGAGCCACGACCTAGTCTTTCCTTCTCCTCTGCCAGCTATTGACAGGCCTTGGTAGAGAAGGCAGCAAGGAAATGTCTGCTCTAGGAGGGGGCAGTCCTAGCAAACCTACATCCTCATTCCCGCCCGGGAGATGTGGCTTGGTGCGAGAGAATCCGACGCAAGGCTCTCTTCTGCTGGTGGAGTAAGGAGGCACACAGTAGGGAAGTGGAGACACAGTGGGTGTCCGCCATCCTTGGGATAGAGGAGACAAAATAAACCCTTTTAGAAGTCATGTCCTTCCAGGCCAAGGCGCGTCCCGTCCCCCCCCCCCCCCCGCCCGCCCCGCGCCCGCGCCCCTTCCCATTAAAAAAAATAAACTTTCCTTTTTTTTTTTTTTGTCTCTTAAAAGGATGATTGTTTGATTTTTTTTTTTCCACAAGCAAGGGTTTAAAAGCAGGAATTAAACTTTGCTAAAACTATTGTTAATTGTAGACATTGACCAAGTTTTGGTAAAAACTAACTAAAAAATCTTAACATTTCCTTCTTGTGAGTAAAAATCACGGGGATACTTTTTAACTTGAATAGAAGACATTTTAGGGACAGTTCTAAAAATTCTTATGTTTTTCAGATTTTTATCTCAGTTTACGTGTTTCAGATTCTTAACCTCCATAAATGTTTGGGTTGGAATTTTAGATTTGTGTGCCTTTTAAAAGAAAAAGCAAATTTATCCTAATGGAAATAATTTTTTAATGCCAGTATCCCCAATCACAAATCAATCTGTTACACACAAATAATTTCAACCTGGTGTGGTGGATGTCTGATCTGCATACCTCGGAGGCTGAGGCAACTGGATCACCAGTTCTAGCTAGCCTTCCACACACTGGACCTTCCTTGTGCAATTTTTATCTTCCCTCCTGTGCAGAATTTATGACCTAAGTTCTTATTTCAAACCCGATTGCAAAATTATGCAGGGGGCTGTTTTGAGCTATTGGGATATAGCCATTTTGAAGGCCTACTTTCTCCTTGGGTAAAACTTACCTGTCCAGGTCTTTGGCCTGACCGCGGGTTGAATGGAGGACTGATTCTGCTCACTCAGGACCTCTGCTGATGCCTGCTTGTCTCTTTCTCTGGACTTTTCTCCAGCTTTCCCAGTGCATAGCAGTGCATAGTTGGGGCCTCTCCAGGGCATAGTTCAGGGGCCTGTTTACACCTCCGACCTTTTATACTGGAGGGTGGAGGACTTTCTGGCCTTTTCTATTTGTAAATAGAGCAGAGTGCTCCAGAGAGGGAAAGAGTTGGAGTGTTAGAATGATCAAAGATAGGTCTTAAGCAAGATGCCTAAACCTAATGGCATTAGCTACACAGTTACAAGGAACGGAGAAAGTACAGCTTTGGCATCAAGTGAGTGGATGTTTCCAGGCAACAAAAGTAACTAAAGACCTGGTGAAGTGTCCAGGGAGTTTCTCCTTTATCTTTTAAGACCATCAAGGCTTCTTATCTTGTAGGAAAAGGTGGTCATCAAAGAGCCAAGAAATCCCTTTAAATACTCCAAACCTGTAAAACTGGATAGCTAATTTCCTTACTGAGAGAGGCAGTTCCTGGCAGAGAGAGGGAACATGGCCGGAAGTCAAGTGACTCTCTGACAGACCCCAGTCTGCTGGACAGAGCAGTTAGGGTGGGAGGCCTGGGAAGGGACTGCAAAAGAAAGCTCTCATCCCCAAGCAAGGCCTTAGGGCAGTGGTTCTCAACTTCCCGATGTCGCCACCCTTTAATACAGTTCTGCATGTTGTGGTGACTGCCAACTCTAGAATTATCTCACTGCTACTTCATAACTAATTTTCTTAGTTATGAATGGTAATGTAAATATCTGATACGCAGGATATCTGATATGCCACCTGTGAAAGGGTCCTTTGGACCCCCATGCCCTCCCCCCCAAGGGTCAAGACCCCCAAGTTGAGAATCAGTTCCTTTAGGAGGTTCAGCCAAGTGGCCTGGGAAGGACAGGCTCTCTGACTTGGGAATTCCAAGGTCAAGAGTTCACTTAGGTCGTCTGAAGACTGTTTAAGGTGACTTTCCCAAAGACTTATGACCTTCAGACAACCTAGACTTCCTTTCTGGGCCAGAGCAAGACCAAGGCTCAAGTGATAGTCTCAATATTGACTGATCGGATATAGGAAAAGTGACAGCAGCCTCATTAAGATCCACAGCCATAGTCACCACCCCACAATCAATCACCCTACAGTGGTGGTATTACCAGCACCAGTCAGTGGGCCCTTGTAAAGCACTTCGGAATATATGACCTCCACTCTTCACTGGCCTGGTAGCCCACTAGAGTGGAGGATTTATTATGCTAGGACCCCTTTGTGGTCATGGTTTATACTTCAGAGGAGAGCCATGGAGTTAACTGGGGATGTAGTTATTCTTCAAGCAAGCCCTGTGAAAGACACACCTACATTTCCACTTCTGACTTCAGGCAGTGAGCAGGGGAAATAAGTTCTTTATTCTTTAAATTTTTTTAAATTTTTTTTTAAAAAATTTTATTTTTATTTTTGGTTTTTTCAAGGCAGGTTTTTTTTTGTGTGTGTGTGTGTGACAGACCTGGCTGTCCTGGAACTCCAGGCTGGCCTCTCCCTTCTGAGTGCCTGGGATTAAAGGTGTGTAGCAGCCCACCCGGCTAAAATTTTTTTTTTTTTGTGCTAGGAATCAACCTGTTGTTTTACATGTGGCATGAGTTACAGCTCCAGCCTTAGGATGTATATTCTTAAATAAGACCTTTAAGAAGTCTGTTATGAAACTACTTATATTCAACAGGGCATAGGAAAAACAGGCTGAAATTCATTGGCATATGTTATGAAATTTTATTCAGAAGATACCTAATGCCTTGAAGATGGCCAGACTGACCAGATCCCACTTTTGGACATATGTGGGAGGTGCAGGGAGAGCCTGGCCCCTGTGTAAGTTTTGAATAAAACTTGGGTCATCTGAAACTGGTTCTTTACTACAGAGGCACTGTGGCCACTATGGTACTTATGGCACTTTCATGAAGATGGGGCTACTAGCCAGGAGGGCCTGAGGGGAGAACATTTTAAGACAGCTTTCCCTACACACTGTAAGAAATAACTGCGTGTGTGTATGTGTGTGTGTGTTTCATACCTGTAATCCCAGCACATGGAGAGTGGGAAGTCTGAGGCAAGAGGATTGCCATGAGTTTGAGGCCAGCCTGGGTTACAAAGTGGGACCCCGTGTCAATAAATCCAGACTCATTAAGTTTATCTCATGATCAGGAAGAAGGTCACACGTACACCCTTGGGACCTTCTCTAAACTGATACGCTTTCAAGAACGAGCACACTGTACTACTCAGTTTGCTTCTTTGAAGTGCGGGTCATGGCCTCTGATGCTCACTGGAAACGCCAGTGTCTGGGCAGGAGCAAAGCTGCCAGCATACTCTGGGATCGCACATGAGCATGCAGAAGCCATCAGTGTTCCCAAGGGAACGCCTAGAGTAAATGTGCAGGGGCTCCTGAGAAGTCTGGCTTCAAGCTTGCCTTGGTTGAATGCTGGCCCTTACTCTTAAGCTGCTTACGAGGTCCCAAGTGGCTTCCTTGTATGTTGTATGTGTAACTCTGGTGCTATAACTCTGGTCACTCTTTCTACAGGGCTGCTAGCCACATAGGAAGTAAGTATCCTCTGTCTGGGGTATCTAGCTTATAGTTACTCAGGATTCATCCAAAAGGCTTAATAGCGGCATGGCCAGGCGAGGCAAGGACTTTTCAGTTTCTTCCTCTGTGTGGGTGACAACTCACCTGTCTGTGTGTCTTCCTGCACAGCTCCCACTTTGTCCTCATAGAAACCAGCCACAGCTTCCCAAAGATCTCTCCCAAGGTGCCTGGGTCAGGAACTCCAGGGGAGTTGGCTGCGAGAGGTCAGAGGAGGGTGGAAGTAGGGTGGGCGCACAGTGGATGACTCAGAAGGCTGGGATGGAATCTGTCTGCAGAGTCCTTTCTGGACCTGCAGGCGGGTCCGGTACCCTTTCCGTGATGGAAGGGCGGGAACATTTCCTCCTGCCCGGAGGCTGGCTGGAGAGTCCAGCTTTGTGACCTTGGAATCTGGGCCAAGGTGCTTCCTCCCAGGACACCGCCCCCCCCAACCCCCTTTATTTTTAAGTGAGGCAGGTTGTGCCTGTCTCCTGTGTGGAAAGCATTTTGTCAGGGACTCCTGTTTATTTTTTAAAAATGTTTTGATTGCTTAAATGGATGTTAATAGACAAACGGGTCGTTAAAAGTTTGATGTCTTACAGAGGTACATGGAGGGGCAAATGACCTTTATTGATGGAGGTGTTCAGCCAGTCAGCTATCCCTAATGGGGGCCGTGGACCAGAATTTCTTGGTAGAGCCTTTGGTGACAGACCTTAGTTGCTTCTTGATCCCTCAGATTCTCATCCCTGCCTTTTTGGTCTGCTTTAAGAAGGATTTATACTGGGAGGGAGAGGGCGCCCAGCCCCTCGGGTGCTATGGCCACTGAGACTGTGAATATCATAGCTGGCAGCACCAGGGCTGCAGGCTTTTCCACCTCTGGAGGCTGGTCACTGTGACTCAGCAGGAAGAACTTTGACCACAGAGATATCCTTTTATATCCGGAGGGAGTGAGCAGAGGACAGGCAAAACCTCCGGTCAGAGAGAGGGAAAAAAAAAAAAGAGTTCCCTGCTTCTGAAAGTCCCGTGATGTGGCCGAGAGAGTTCTCCTTTATCTCAGAAGCAGCAGGAAGCAGTTTTCTAGGGTTGGGACTTAGGGGCCCCATCTTCACTTGACTAAACTGGTCACATGTCACCCCTTTGGTAGTTGAATAGCTGAAAGGCACAATGCCAGTGGTTCCTTCCTAGCAGGGCCAGGCACAGGGAAGGAGCCACCTACATAAGCACCTACCATTTTAGCCCATTGGGCTCTGAGAGACTGATCCCTGACGTGTAGGCTGTTTTGAATTGGTAATAGTTTCTGGTCCCGGAGGTTCCTACTCTGGCCTACATCTGGCCTCAGGTCCTTGTGGGACAAGCACCCCGATGTACCAGATAACTGGCACTATCGTTGTCATGAAACCCTTCCTTCTACAGAAGGTGCACTGATAACCTCTGCAGGACTCCTCATCTACACTTACGTCAGAAAAATCTCTCCGTGCCTCAACCTGTGTGGCAGGGTTGGTTTGTGTTACGGAAGCCTGTTTCCTCTTGTGGTTCTGCTGGTAGAGACAGTGCGTGTGGTATCTTCTCCAACAAAGACAGAAAGAAGGGCTCCTGTCAGGGTATTCCTCCGATTTCTTTCCCACATCAGAAGGGACTAGTGATGGCAGGAGTCTTCACTAGGCCAGGGGAGGGCACAACTGGGTGGCTGCTTAAGTGCTCATGGTATGTGGTAGTCACTCTGGTATATCTGTGTACATCTTTTTTGTGTGTATTTTTATCTCTTTCCATAAAGCTTTTCCAGAGTTCCTAGCATCCTTCTTCCATCCTTGATAATCAAGTCCTCTGACCAAGCAAACCTCTGAGAAAAATGCTCCGGCTGTCATTTTCTCTAGACCCACAGTGCCACCTAGTGGCACAGAAGGAGCCAACCGCTCCCCTTAGCCTGGCGGGATTGTTCGTTCTCCTTTCTTATTGGCTCTGTGTCTCTACTAACCGGAACCGCTTTTCTCCTTTACAGGTGGCTATGAGAGGTTTTCTTCTGAGTATCCAGAATTCTGCTCTAAAACCAAGGCCCTGGCCGCCATCCCACCTCCCATACCCCCCAGCACCAATGAGTCCTTGGACCTGGGCTGCGGCTCCTGTGGGACTCCACTGCATGACCAGGTATGTGTTGCGCCCCCGGACAGAGTTCAGATTAGGCAGTGCAGGAGAACAGGAAGGAACCGCTTGAGTCACTGTACTTCAAGACAGGCCCACCAACCCTTCTCTTCAGATGGACTCGGGGATGAATCCATAAAGTATCCCAGCACGCTGCCCTCTCTCCTCATCTTTTCTCAGATGTGCTCACTGTAGACTTACCCAGCCAAACAGATCCATCCGCAGTGTAAACTCCCAGTGTGGCCAAGTGTGCCTCAGTTGTCACGGGAAGGTGGCTGGCTGGTGCCCATAAGACCTGACCATACCTTGTCTCTGCCCTCTGGAGTCCCGCTGAACTCAAGCCGGGAAGGAAGAGCCAGGAAAGCCCTGTCTGTCGGGTCCCTCCCCCCAGGCCCTAGAAAAGCCACCTTGGATTGTTGTACCATCCCTAGCTCCAGCACCTGAGCGCTGCATCCTGGTTGTTGACACTCATGTTTTCCTGGTTTCTTTTTGTTGCAGGGGGGTCCTGTGGAGATCCTCCCTTTCCTCTACCTCGGCAGTGCCTACCATGCTGCCCGCAGGGACATGCTCGACGCCCTGGGGATCACAGCCCTACTGAATGTCTCCTCAGACTGTCCCAATCACTTTGAGGGACATTACCAGTACAAGTGCATCCCGGTAGAAGACAACCACAAGGCTGACATCAGCTCCTGGTTCATGGAAGCCATCGAGTACATCGGTAGGCTTCCCCTCCGACTTCAGGGTATCCAGGGGGAACCCAGGGACTGCAGATGGGGATTTTAGGTGTTACGCACAGGCTGTGACACTAACCTTGTATGTTGTCGTTGGCTCTCACCAAATATTTGATAAAAACCAACTAAAGGGAGAAAGTGACTCTGGCTTGCAGTTTAAGGATGTAGTCTGTCATGGTGCAGATGACCTGGTGACAGGTGCAGTCAGGAATCGGAGCCAAGATTATCAACCCTCAAGGCCTGCCCCTAGCTAACCGATTTCCTCAATATGGCTGCCCCTCCTTTAGGTTTCAGGGTCTTTACTCCCGCCCCCCACCACCACAGTGAACCTGTGGGGATTTCAACCTTAAATACCAGACAAGGCCCAGGCCACTCGTGGGGACTTGTGTAGTGGGAATTGGACATCATTATCCAGGCCTGGCTGGAGAGACAGTCACTTCCTTGCGTGGCTCCACGTGTGTACAAAGTAAGGCCTTTTGTATGGAGAGGAGGTCAGAAGGAGATGATCTGATGGCTTTGCCATGTGATTTATCTGGGTGTATGCTTTAAAAAAAATTTTGGTTGTTTTAAAAATTCCAGTGGGATGAGTGGGATTCCACGTCTTCGTCCTCAGTCTAGCCTGGCTGACCTTTCCCTAGTAGCGCCCCCTCATCCCGCCGTGTGCCTCCCCCACTGACGTGTCTTGGCTTCTGTCACACGCGTCTGCTAGTGGTGGCTCCTGAAGTCCACCAAGGTCTCTAATCACGTCCCACTTCTGCCGCAGACGCAGTGAAGGACTGCCGAGGGCGAGTGCTGGTTCACTGCCAGGCCGGCATCTCTAGATCAGCCACCATCTGCCTGGCTTACCTGATGATGAAGAAGAGGGTGAGGCTGGAGGAGGCTTTCGAATTCGTCAAGCAGCGCCGTAGCATCATCTCGCCCAACTTCAGCTTCATGGGCCAGTTGCTGCAGTTCGAGTCTCAGGTGCTCACCACGACCTGCGCCGCAGAGGCCGCCAGCCCTTCCGGGCCCCTGCGGGAGAGGGGCAAGGCCACTCCCACCCCCACCTCGCAGTTCGTCTTCAGCTTCCCTGTGTCCGTGGGTGTGCACGCGGCCCCCAGTAACCTGCCGTACCTGCACAGCCCCATCACCACCTCTCCCAGCTGTTAGGACTAGTCTCCAGACACCAAGTCCAGAGTCGGCCCCCAGCCAGTGTGCAAATCACATGGGAGCAGCGAATAGGGACTGACCAGTGGGGGACCAGGTGACCATGCTCCGTCCCCATCCCTTTCTCCTTGGCCAACCACAGGGCCAGCTAGAATGGCAATAACGACTTTGAATATACATTAAAAACAAACACAACTAAATACTCCAACATAGAGCAATAACGGTAGCTTCTGCTGCCAGGAAGACTTGGTTTATGTGTCAGTTTTTACTTTGCAGGTAGAAATTTACCTCATTATTATTATTATTATTTTTTAAAGCAATCAAGCTTGAAAGTTATGAAACCCACAGATCCTGGCAAATGTGTCCAACCAATTTTATTAAGTGGAGAGGGAAAGAAAAAGAGGAGAAAAAAAGTTTGCCAGAAAAGTGCTTGGTTCTGTGTGTTTGTTCTTCTATTGTTGAGCTCACAGGAATTTTGTTCTAGATCCTTCTAGGCCACAGTATTCTAATTAGTCGTCAACTGGATACTTAATGTTTAGCGAGTATTGAGAATCTCAGCACGTGTGTGCAGGAGTCTGGTGACGTTGGGATTTATTTCTGATGAGGTCACACAGTCGAGCATAGAAACACACAGGTGTGCTGTCAGTGAGGGGGTAGGTGGTCACCATGGTCACCATCTTGCATTGTTGCCACTGAGAAGCAGGCAGGCTGACCCGCAAGGATAAAGGTCTATGGTTGGTCACTTTTGCAGCTGGCTCCTGGGCCCACTGACCCAGCCATGTCCTCAAATTTCTCTCCAGTGGTTCTTTTGGCTGTGAATAGAGTGTTTTCTTCCCACTTGGCTTAGGATCTGGATACTGTCTGTGGTAAATGCCATCTTTTTTAAGGTGCTCCTGGAAAACTGGGTGCAATTCAGATTTTTTCTGCCGTGAATCATTTGGTAAGGCCAGATCAGAACCAGATCACTGAGGATGAACTAAGTGAATCTCCTCCCTCTCTTGGATAAATCGGGCGTTTCAGTTTTAGGAGTTTACTTGAAGTATACATACCAAGAGGTTCTTGTTACGAAATCCCTGTCAAGTGAATACTTTGAAAAGCCCTCCCTCTTTTGAATATGAAGATACGCTTATGCCTGACTTGGGGCTCCTTAAAGTCTGGAGAGAACAGAGGGTGGGGGGCTGCATGCCAGCTCCTGTATTACTGATACCAGGTGATTCAGGAGTCACGTTGGGTTCTGACTGGGCTAACACCATTTTAAAGGAGCCTTTCCAAGCGGCACAATGGCTTTGGAGGAGTAAGTGTGTTTCTAGGGGGAAGGTGCAGGGTGGGGAGGGAACCTATTTTGTTTGTGGTTTTGGGTGACAGTTTTGTGATGGCATGCCAGAAGAGAGTCACTGAAGACTTCGCAGAAATGAGCATGCCCCCTCCCCCACACCTTGAGCATAAATATAACTTCAAACCTCCATGTCACATCGTGAGGGAATGCTCCTTCTCATCCAGAATCCCAGACAGCCCGGGTTCATGGTTTTTCCGTCCATGAAATGTGAACCCGTGTTGGCATGACTTGTATGGGGTGACCTGTGTCAAACTCTGCCTTTGGGTGAGAAGTGAGGAGTGCCCTGCTTGCTCCACTGACTGCCACGTGGCTGAAGGCACAGAGGGGCTGAGATCCCCGACAGTGGACTGCCTATGCCTATTTGGATGGTCGTACATTTTTGCTCCCTGCTTCTTGGCAGCTGTTTCACGTTTGGTGAAGAATTTGATTAAATGAGTTTTTGTAGGTAGACAAGTCCTGGGTTCCAAGAATGTAAAGAGCATCTGGAGACCAGATAGTCTTTAGACTGCATTCACGTTCTGTATGAGTGTTTGCCAAATGTGTCCTAGTTCTCGAACTGGATCCCAACTACACAGGCAGTGGGAGCTCCAAATGTCCCTTCTCTGTTTCCTAATTCAAGCCTCCTATGACAGTGTCAAGGGCCTACTTATAAAGTCATTTCCTTTGTACTTGATAACAGCATGAGACCCAAAACTCTTAGAAAATAGGATACTGGTTTGATTGAAAAAAAAGGGGGGGGGCCACACTTTTAAAAAAGTTCTCCAGAAACTTCTTGGATGGCTTGCAATAGCTCTAATGAGGACCCTGTCATCCCTAATGGTTTGTTTCAAAAGACAATATTCCATCCATAAGCTGATTTCTGGTGATGGGGAGTTTTGGAATGTCAGAAAGCTGTTGAATATTTGCCCGAGAATGAGGAACGTTCAGTTCTCCCGGGGGTTGGGGTGGGACGGGACATCTTTGCTCCATCCTCCACGGTGTTTGTGGGACTGAGGACTGAAGCACAGGTGAGCAGGTGACTAGCAGCTCTCAGCTCCGTTCTCCCCTGAGACCTCATGCTCTGGTTCTTGGCTTTCAGTAAGGCTGGAGAAGCCAAGGGAAGGAATTGAGAGACCTTGGGAAGGTGGCAGAAGAAAGGGAAGATTTAATAGCTGATCCCCAAGGGGAAGGGACTGGGCGATGGCCAAGAAAGCCTATGGCAGTGATAACAATAGTTCATATGTGTTCATCATAATCACCTGGGTAGCCTTTAAACTCATATCTAGGTGACCCTTGACCAAATGAACCAGGACTTGTGTGGGTGGGACCCAGACACCTATACGTTACAGTGTTCCTACGCACTTTCACTGGTGCCGCCAAGTCCTGGAGACACCATTGCTTTGGGATGGTGAAAGCCAGGTCTTGCTAGCACAGAGCTAGCTTGTGAAACAGATGTTACAGTAGGGCTTTGTAACAGGGTCAGTGTGGTCCCACTCTGCACAGCCAGCTGAGGGGTGGGGTGTTTTTATTTTCTTTTTTTTTTGCGGTGAGCCCCTGAATGGGAACAATTTGTGGAGCATTGTGAGTGAGCTTAATATAGACAGTGTCTGGGTGTTGATGTTTTCCTTAAACTTTGTCTGCAAGAAAGATGGAGGAAGTATGTATCTGTTTCGAAGTCCTTCTTCTAGTGCCCCACCCTTCCTTAGAACTCAAGAATCATTCAAGGGACTTCAGAAAGATAACAATGCAATACTTGTACCTTGTGCAAATAGCCCCATCTCTCTGAGTGGTGTCATTTCTACATTTGATATGCTTGTATTTCTGTAGGATGTACATTGTTTTTTTTTTTTTTTTTAGAAGAGTCAAACATATCTGTTTTTATTTATTGCTTGAAAAAAGATCATTTGAAGAAAAATAAATACATTTTCAACCATTTCTGCTTTTGTGGACTCTCACTGGCAAGCATCCTGGCTGTTAGAACTTGGAAAGGGAGGAAGAACTGGGCCCTCAGGTAACCCTGCCCACTTAGCACCTGCAGTGGAGACCAGCTGGAGAACACTGGGAGATAGGTGGGCGGGGGGGGGGGGGGGGGGGGGGGGGGGGGCTGGTATCTAGCGGAGTCAGAATGAGCAGTGGGCATCTTTTCCTTTCAGGGGCCTACTGCAGGAAGCACAGATGAGGATGAGAGAGATTCAAGGGGAGAGGCCAGTGTTAGCCAGCATGAAAACAGCAAAGAGGGCTGTAAAAGAAGAATGTGTGAGGGTCTGAGGCTCAAAGAGTTGGAGGTCATTGTACTGGCCTTCCTAAGTCTGTTGAGATGGAAAATAAGCAATTAAATGCTTCCAGGATATAGAGTGAGAAAACGAGCTAATGGTTTGCAAAACCACACACTGGACCAGACATTCTTATCTGACTCCATTGGTATGGCTCTCCCAAATTGTAAATAATATTTTCTCACTATATCATAAACATCTTGAAGACACCAGTCTAATAAGAAAATTCAGCCATTACAAAATTACAAAATATCCTTTCGTATACAGAAATGCCAATAAACAAACTACGTAATTTATGTATATGAGAACTCTTCATGCATATCAGAAGTGAGTCAGATTCCATTACAGGTGGTTGTGAGCCGCCATGTGGTTGCTGGGAATTAAACTCAAGAACTCCGGAAGAGCAGCCAGTGAGTTTAACTGCTGAGCCATCTCTCCAGCCCCAACAAAAATCTATTTTAAAATGAAAATGGAACGATAAAATGCCTACAAGAAGCATGTAGGAACAGGTGAGGTGTATGCTCTGGACAAGAAAGAACATACCGTGGGGAAACAGCATATAGTTGGTGGATAAGAGGGTAGCTATAATTATAAAGTAACATAACTCAGAAACTCTTATCAGGATTTGGGGAAGAACGTATTTCATTCGGAGGAATAAATGTGGAGGGAAACCACGTCAGGGAGGTAGACTGTTTTTAAGTCTTTTGCTGCTCTAACAGCACATTAAGCAGACAGGACATATCCACCACCTCCCCATTACAGGAACTGCTTGGATTATCCAATCTAGGCCTCTTAACTAGCTCTTGAACTTTCATAAAAGCAGGGCGTTTGGTAGACATACCTACTTTGATACAGAATAAGAGAAACATTACACTTTTGAGGCAGAGGGACGTTTCTGAATGGAAAATAAAAATTCAATGGCCGTCCAGTTGGAAAGGGAGCTCATGGAGAGACAGTTGGTAGGAGGGAAGACAATCTGTTCCATAGATAGGTAAAAGCACTGAGAAAAGGGTTCGAGACAAGGCACAGAGGTCTGTGCACCCTGTACTGCAAGGAAGACAGCCTTTAGAGGCAAGCTATCCCCACCGAATGCTTGTTCCCCAAGGGATGCCTCCAGCCCCGGGAGCCAGTAGTGTCCAGGTAGCATGTACTCTGTCTTCTGGAAAAAGCAGCCCACCTAGCAGTATGGCTTAGCAGGTAACCCTCCAAAAGCCTGATGACCCGAGTTAGGTAGAAGGAGAGAATCAACTCCACAAAGTTTGCTCTGACCTCCACATGTGTACCCTGGGATGCATATAGTACAGGGAAAAACACACACACACACACACACACACACACACACACACACACACACACGTTCACCTATGCACTGATCAACTCTAAAAACTTCCTTCAGTGAGCAGCTGACCCAACCTTACCTTGTTCCCCACAGAAACAGCACTCCAGTTTGATTCACGGAGAGATCCATTCCTCCTTATGTTTCAAAGCAAGCTTACTTTACTGCAGCCATGGGATCAGGCCTATATGTCTTACCTACTCAGCTGCACTCAGAATGAGTGTTGGAGAACCTGGACTACACGGTAAGCTCATGACTAGCTGGTTTCATTGGCATCACTAAATTTCTGGAACTTACTACCTTACTGTGTCAGTAAGAAGCAACCAGAATTTGAGGGTTGATCTCCTTTTGAATCTGCTGTACCTTGGCAGCTCCCTGGGCTGAGAAGGATTAGAGTGGGGTCCTAGGCAGTTCTATAGATTTGCTTTCTTCTAACCCCCTTTCTAGTCAACTGTGCTTTTTTGTGGGGATGGAGGACGGGAGCAGAGCCAGTTTTCAGATTAAATTAAAAAGGTCATTTAGTTATCCCATCAGCTCTATGAGATAGTAAGAATACTCATTTTAAAGGTAAGAAATCGAGGCAATTTGGCCGAGGCAGTTCCTTTAGTTAGCAAGTCACAGAACCAGGCTGTGACTCCAGGTGGCAGAGCTGGGGCCTCATCTTAATCCTGTAGCATTCTGGGCAAATGGGCTGCTCCAAACCTCCCTCAGTCATCTGCAGCTCTCCCATCTCTCACTGTCTTAATGAGGCAGGGCAGAAACAGGAGAGCAAAGACCAAAAGGAGCAGCCCCTCACTTTGGATCTGCATTAAAACAAACAAAAAAACAGCTGAACAGAGCAAAAACAATTGAAAGCCAAGAATTTCAACATGACCAAACTGCTGCAAGGACTACAGGCAATAAGAACCCAGAAGAAACATCACAATCGAGGCTACTATAACATGGGGCTGAAGAGCCACTATGGTCATCCAAGAGCTCATTAAGAGCCGTCAGTGCCCATCTTTGATGCCTGCTCCCAGCCACTGCCTATGCCCTTTCCTGTCTTCCTATTCTTTTCTGTGATGTAGGGCAGGATCCCTGCTGCACCCAGGTCCCTGGGAACTCCTTAGACTGCTCAGTCTATAAATGGGGAGTTGCTTAGAGATACTGGCACTCCAAAAGTATTCAGTTTGTACCACCATACGATATCTGAGTAAAAACTATTCAATGACTTCTTCAGTCAGTCTTCCCACTTAACAGCGAAGTAGAGGCAAATCGTTGTCATAGAACTTGCTTTGGAATTATGAAGGTTTAGTGGTGCAGGGCACACCCCGCTTTTCTTCACATCATCCTTACCACACCGCACACTCCTTTCCATATCAGTTTCATACCAATTCCCTCATATTTGATACTTAATTTATACATAGAATGTGTAACGCTGTTCAGCCCTACTGTCTAAATCAATTCTGTGCCAGGAAAGGAATGTCAAGAATCTTAATAAAGCTGAAATAAAGATCAACATGTTGCATACTCGCTGACTTAACTGGTCATACCAGCTTTTAACTTTTGCTTCGTCTGATAGGTTCGTGTGCTCCTTTGGCGTTACAATTATAAAGCTGGAGTGAACCAGGCTAATGATGAAGGGTTATAAACACTCTAAGGAGAATGTGCTGGCTCTAACCTGACATACTGGGCCACAGTCACCAAAGCACTGTAGGCAACAGAAGTTTAAAAACTTCACACTGATGCCTTTAATCCCAGCACTCGGGAGGCTGAGGCAGGCAGACCTCTGAGTTCAAGGCCAGCCTGGTTCACAAAGGGACCCAAGACTGTCAGGGCTACACAGAAACCCTGTCTCCAAAAGCCAAAAATTGTTCACACTGGGGATGTAGCTCAGTGGGAACAAAGTGTCTTTCTAGAATGTAAGGTCAATCCACACTCCACCACCACCTGCTTTGCAAAATCAGTGCCAAAGAAAATGCTTCTTCTCCTCTTTAGATCCATGGGATTTGTTTGGGTTGGAATTTCCTTTAAGAAACAGATCCAGTTTAGCAAGTGACTTAAAAAAAAACCCTTGTGTGTACATATGTGTACATTCCTTTGGATGTGAATGCTAGGCTGTTGCATGTGAAGATCAGAAGCCAACCTCAAGTGTTAGTCCCTGCCTTCCACCTTGAGGCAGCATCTCTGGTTTTATCCCACCCAGCTGCCCTGGGAGCTTCTGGGGGATTTATCCCAGGAAGCATTTACACGTTCTGTCAAGCCACCACACACACACACACACACACACACACACACACACACACACACACACACGGTCAAGCTATCAACGCTTACATACTGAGCTGCTGAAATTCCAAGCTGTTCACTTGATGGAGCACTTGGCATTTGGTGCATTGGTCTGACCACCTCTATGCTTTAACAGAACCAAAAGCAACGGTTCTTGGGGTGTTGTGAACCCCTGATCTTCACGCGAGACGCTGACGATGTAAGACAACAGAGCACCACCAGCTGTTTCATCTCTGTAGCCATCTAAAGCGGCATCAGGTACAACCAGGGACCAGCATTCAACAGCTGGTATTCAGACTCTACAGTGGAAGGTAATTTGATATACATATTTTGTCATTTTGCCTTCAAGTTTACCTGTGAAACGGAGATTAAAAGAACTTTTCGGGGTTCTTGAATGACAGCATACACAGAGCATAAAGAGAAACAGATGAAAAAAAAAAACCCAAAAACAAAATTTCTAGACACCGGGCCATGACCACAGTTTCCTATGAAGTCTTCTCAAGTTTCCCCTGATATTGAGGTTATTTCCGTAACTTCAAACTGGGATTTCACTAGGCCAGGACTACTCAGAGCCTGACCCCTAGTGGCCAGTCTCAGGAGAAACAACTGCTGCTTTAAAACTTACCACCCAGTAAGCCATTCCCTTGTCTGTCCACCTGGACAGGGACCCCACACAAATGGCCCCAAGACCTAGTTAACTTTCCTATTATAAAAACATTCCTATATATGCTTGCACCTCACAACTCCCTATTGCCTCTCCTTGCCTGTGCCCTCGGTACACTCTAACTACCTGCTACCTTCCATAAACCCAGTCTGCAGATCTTATGGGTTCACACAAACTACGACAATCCTTACATCTGTAACTCTGATGATCCTTCAGCTACAGAAGTTATGGATACACACCCAGCTTCAAGATCACTACATGTGGAAAAAGCACTGGTGAGAGATGGAAAATCCTTTGCTCCTTGGGGACAAGGTGGTAGGTCTTACTATGTAAGTAAAACTGGCCTGAAACTCCTGATCCTCCTGCCGAGGCATCCTAAGTGCTGGGATTGCAGGTTAACAAGCTACACTGAGTGGTGTTCGATCGGGAGTTTTCCCGTGGCATGTACAGAACCTTTCTCCTCCAACCGCCCTGGCTGGGAGGGCCTATGAGCTAGTCTCAGGGAGACTTTCCTGAAGTTTCTCCTGCTACTGCTGTTTCCATGGCTTCCAGTGGTTTACAGGTGCGACCTCACTAGCAGAGGAAAGCAGGAGTGTCACAGTTCTGATGGGTGAGGTCTGTGCTGCACATGCAGACGGTCAAGCTGACGTGAACAAAGCGCGAGAAAAGCAGGAAACACTTAAGCTGAATGTTACACACACACACACACACACACACACACACATACACACACACACACAGAGTGTGTACTTTAAAATGTTTTTTATTGAATATTAATCTGTTACAATTACTGTAGACATTAAGCCAAAGCACAATTACAGGTTAAATATAATCACAGAGATGTTTTAAATAGAAACCCACCATGTAGGCTGGTTAAGTTCCTTGATGCCCTCTTTTAGAAATAAGTAAAAGTTGAGGAAAAAAAAAAGGTCTTTCATTCCAGGTGAAAGCTCTAAAGACCAGAGAACTTACATGCTGTGAGCCTCCTTTTGTGATCAAACTGCTAGGACTCTCGGGTTTAGAAAAACTACATAGAAAACAAAATCTATGACATTCAGTCAAAATCTGAATTTCAGATAAGTTAATGAACATTTTAAAAATTGCAGATATGTCAAATATGAAATATACTTGAGCTAGAAACCAGCCTGAAATTCAAATCGAACTGGGTATCTTTTATTTTGTCTGACAAGCCTACAGATGGACACACACAAACACAAACACACACACACACACACACAAAATGGAGCTGGCACTCCTGCCACTGGTGGGTCACACAGACCAGAAACAAAAGAACACTAACAACAAACCAAAGCCACCACACTGGTTACTAACACAGACTGACGTTACAGTACGAAAATCACAATTACAACTCCAGATGCTGTTGTCAGAACAGTCTAGACTTCCTCAAAGCTGGGTTTGTTTGCAAGTTCTTGAGAGACCTTGTCAATCAAAGTACCTTTAGCTTTGTAGGTATTAAGGACAAATATTACTACCACAAGGATAAGATGAGCTTAGAACCCTGGGAGGGAGGGAGTGGAAGCAGGCATCACACACATGACGAGTGTCAGTGTTCTGTGTAGTGAGTACACTCACTATATACCGCAGGTCACCTTCTCAGTCGATGCTACTAGCTTCAAAACCCCAGTTCCTTCCTTCCTTTTACTGTGGCATTTTCTAGTTTTCTTCCTGCACACTGGGAGAGAGGTTCAGGGACACCCCATCACCACACTGAGCTAACAAAGGGCACTCAGGGCCACTTGAGGAGGATATTGAAAGAATTCTGAAAAATGAGAAAAAACTCCGCAAGGACGGTGGAGGAAAGGGGCAAACCTCTGCAGGGTGAGTGTCAGCTCAATTTTGCAGAACTCTGGTAGAAGTATAAAACTGGCCACATAACCTGACCATACTGGATCTTAGAGAAAGAAGATATAAAATCTTCAGCTTCTGACAAGTTTTAAGTTTCATGTGTCATAGTATATACTTTAAAAATGATTAAAAAACAACTTTCACGACACACTAACTCCACATGGTATCACTTTCTATGAATCCCCCACACAAGATCATGGGTTTGGAAATCCCACTAGTGTTACTCCAAACCAGATGACCTGGAGGCGGAAGAAGTTTAAGAAAAATTGGAACTGACTGGCTACATCAACTCCACTGAATTTGACAGTATTCCTTATAAAATATACCCCCATAGAACACACTTACCAGGTATGAAATACACAAGACACGCCCACTCACTAATACATTTCAAATATTAAGAAGTGGATTCATGTTTCACTGCTAGAATAGAAAAGGTTAAAAAGTTTCTGCCACAGATAAGGCTTTTTCAAACAGGAAAAACATACTTGTCTATTAACTGTAGAATGCTTAAGTTGGCTGAAGAAGCTTCACTTTTTTAGGGTGGTATTTTTTAAGGAATTTTTTTCATGTGCTAGATGTAGCTAGCAATCTTTTGATTATCACTGTCACAAGTACCCTCATTTCTGTGTCACTGCCTTAACATCAAAGTGTAGTCTTTAACTTTCTGATACATGAAAACATCCATTTGAATGTCATTTTTGAGTATTTGCTGAGTACTCTATAGTCTGTAGCTCTACACAGGATGATCGGCCCAACAGAAACACAATAAGAAGGCTGGCACACAAACAGGGTCCGGGTGCATGGCTGAGGGGACAGGACAGGGAGATGTGCTTAAAAATACACTTTTGTCTACAAGGCCATTACAGGAATTCAAATGACGACTGTTTAAAAGGGAAGAGGGAACAATGCCTGAGTCCCCTTCATGCAACTGGGAATACACTGAAGGAGAGGAAAGTCAGGACAACTCGATGCTGTTTCCTAGCATCAGCCAAACGTTACTGTTTGTTATAATATCTAGGATAATAAGATGGTGATGTATGCTTATTTGCTTGCCATATTCAAGTACTTCTCTATGTATTTCAAATGCTCTTTACTATTCCAATAGCAAAGAGAAATGAGTGGAGCTGGAAGCGTGGCACTCATCGGTCATGAGACCGATGTTAGTGTTGTCCCCCAGGCTGCTCCGAGTTGTAACTGCCAGGAAGGGAAAGCAAGGTTAGAACCCAGCCTGTCCTGCCATTACGCTTTTGCATAGAACTACACACTGGATTCCATGCTGCTATCTGCTAGCAAACTGGCAGACTCTTCTGAGCAGAAAGTAGTTGGGGACTAAGCTCAGTTCCATTCTGATATGAAAATAAGGGACACTTATTATATGAGTCTCTGTAAGACTCATGGCAAATGGGGCAAGTGCAGGAGTATCTTCTAAGACTAGGTTAGCAGTCTGGGGAGAAGCAAAGGTACAGGCAGATGTGCCCAGAATACTTATCGTATGCCTGAGTTAGAAGTCTCCAAGCTGGCCAAACCGGTAAACTAGCACTGTTGGGTCTCTGGGAAAGGCCGCAAAAAAGAGCTAGGAGATACCCGCCTTCTCTCTGCAGTTCTGTTGGGAAGCTGGAGTCCCAAACCTGCCAGCAGTTCTAAACAGTACACACAAAAGAAATTAAACAGACTTCAGCCGAATGCCAAGTTCTTCTGGTCCAGAGGGCTTTTATAGTTTATGTTGCCGTTCTAGGAAATCCTACACAGTCACCTTTTTGCCAACTTGAGTACACGCACGACACATTTGGTTTTCAAGTTCTGGAAATATCTATTAGCTCTGTGGACCATTTATTTATTTATTTATTTATTTTTCTTTTTTCAGGATTGACACTTTTTAAACTGCTCATCACTTCTGTGCATTTTGTCCTAGGTGAGTCACCTCGAGAGCACTTTCCTGTCGCAGTGTCTACTCAGCTCAGAACATGGGACACAGCCAGCCCTGGTGTTTTAGGGAACCAAGATAGACTCCTCAAGGTAAGGCCCAGGTTAATCTAGTTGGTTGATGGAGGTGATATGTCAGTCAGAGGTTCATGTTTTAGTTTATATTTTACTATACCACAGTAACACAGTACCACTGTGTTTAACATTTTAAACTAATTCCGGTTGGGCCAAATAACATACACATTCTAGCTAGTAAAACTATACAGATGCCAATTTCTTCAACTCTTTGTTAACAGAAAGGAAAAAAAGAAAACCCTTTGAGCCAGCATCAAATTCTGAAGCTTTATATGGTATTCAAGTTGCTATTAAATACACAGTCAAAACCACCGGCACCTAGCTCAGGCCACTGACACTGCAACAGTAGTGAGGACCGAGGCTAACTCTTGACTTCATTTTGAAGAACCCATTCAAGGTATAACTGTAATATTCACACTAGACTGGATGCCTAGTCCTAGCACTGGGCTCAAGCTAACAAAAATTTAATAAATAAAAAAAGAGAGAAATGTGTATTTCAAGAACCAGGGAAACAAAGATGATCACAGTTTAATATGCTTACATTAAAAAAAAGTTAGAAAAAATTGTTTTCAGTCTTCCAACTGAAATGGTGAAACGTGTCACATTGTTTCCCTCTGTTTGTATGACTTCTGCTTCAGAGCTGAGTAGAACCTAAATAGAGTAATGCATTCAACTCTGTATTCAGTTAAGGTCCACAGGGAACGGAAGGAAAGTGCACTTGGCGAGTGCCGTTACAAGCAGCACTTTCACAAAGAAATGTCTATCAGTGGCGTCTAAAAACATGGCAAACTGCCTTTGGTTTCAACTTTTGTCTAACTATGTTAAGAACTTTGAAGAAATGGTTCAAAAACTGAGAGAAAGGATCTTTCTAAACTATTTGATACATACTACTCAAAATAAAGGCCAGATCAGGAGTAAACAAAACGTCTTGCATTTGTGCATATTTATTACGTTGGGCTTGAATCCTGGCTTTCTAAACTAAAGAGAGGAGAGTAGAACGCTGGGCCCTGACTTTGGAAATAAAGGGTAACCTCAGGGTAGACGATTCTGGTGGTCCAGAGAATGAAGACATCCCTGGGTCTGCTGGCTGCAGTTGCAGCCCTGGGCTCCACTCTTCCTCCTCAGTGGGCTCCTCCCTCCCAGATCTTCAGCCAGTCCACCAGGGGAGCAAAGTTCTAACTGCCTCCATTAAAACTTTCCCTGGTGTTCTTTTGACATCTGTAGTATGGTCCTAAGAACCCTGCAGGTTCTGACTTTTTAGGTCAAAGAGAGATGTCTGTGCCCTTCCTTTTAAGATGGGGCAGTTTATAAAAGGAAACTAAATATTGCTGCTTTTCCTTTATGTTCACAAGAAGCAGAGACACAAATCTAACAACAGAGACCGGGAACAGTGTCTTGTTCAGCCAGAAGCTTCAGCTGCATTGCTAGCTCATGATTTTAGTCAGTGTGACTGTGCAAAATATCCCAGGAAGATTCCGGCTCATTCTCAAAGTGACAACAATGACAACAACAACAAGTGTCAACAAATATGTTTGGCAAAATTAAAAAAATGAGCCCATCATGTGTGTCTGTTATACATGTGCTAAACACAACAAAGAAAATGTAGTGTATGAACCAAGACCATGTAAGCCAGCATATTCTCTTTTCCCATCTCTACATCTTGAGCAAAGCATCTTGCTTCAGAAATGGGTAACTGCAAAGAAAATGGCCAGAGACACGTTCAAGGCCGCCCAGTAGCCATTTCCTCAAAGGGACCAGGGCAGGTGAGTGTGCTCGGGAGCTACTCTGCCCCGTCACTCTAGCAATGCTTTATAAAAGACAGCTTATTTCTTGGCTGTTGGGATTTAGAGAATATTGATTTTTTTTTTTGTTTTTTTTGTTTTTGGTTGGAAGCAATCCACTGTAATCCAGTTGCAGGTCTGAATCACTCTGGCCTTTACCAGGGGCAATCACTAGGTCTTCTGCTCTGCTGCTGTTGCGGTCTGTGAGGGGGCTTCCGGCTTCATGATCTGGTAGGTGATGAGATATTCTGGATATGCCTGGAACGGAAAAGGCAAACAACTCACTCCTTTGAAGGTGCAGCACTTAAGTCTTCCTTATTCAGGGCTCAGGCTAGATAACATGTGCAAACGCCATCTATAAACTTACTTGTGTAATCCTTCTACTTAGATTAGGCCCCCTTTTCATCCTTTCCTGTAAAGTCATGAACCATTAACAGGAAAACATCAGCATCTTTCCTCTTTACTTTATATAGTGGGTCGTCAAGAAGCTTATTAACTCAAGTAATAATTCTGCTGTGGAGAGCTCAAATTAATCATAGGAAATGTTGTAACCCCACATTCTAGTATCTAGAATGAAGTCAGACATGCTAAGGAACCACACATCCAAAGGGCAACTGTGTAGGGGTGACTGAAGTAGGATGTTTATTTCTTTGTGACAGGGTCTCATATAGACTATTTGTTCTCAGACTTGCTCATAGCTAAGGCTTGTCTTCTCGCCCCACCTTCCAAGTCCCCGCCTTCCAAGCACTGACAGACACCAGACCTGGCTGAAGAGACCAGACCTGACTGGAGAGAGAATGGTGCAGATTTAGGCTTGCATTTGCCGTCCGTCGACAAACAGAGTGTGTGGTGGGTACTATCAACGTTGTTGTCACTATTATCATTCAGTAGACTGGGGCCTCATGATGGGTCTTAGGACTTGAAAACCAAAATACATAAATATGCTTTAAAAAGTCCTGTCTATAGACATGTAAGCAGCATTATCATTCACAACAGCCTTTCATAGGCCAGCATACTCTGGTCTGAATCTAAACCATCAATGGTTTCCATCAGTACCCTGCCAAACTGGAATGATCAGGGTCAGTCTCTCTGGACTCTTGAATCTGAAGGCTCATTAACTGCTCTCTGTGGTTCTCTTTAAGTCACACTGCTTAGCTAAATGGCTTTAAGGCAACATTTTAATTCTTAATATTAAAACAAGCTGTTGCAGATACTTTTCCTTTATTAGTGGAGGAAGAGAAATAGTACTTAGATGGTTTACTTGTTAAGGCAGATTATTTACTCAGCAGTGTAGGTCTAAGGCCTCTACCACATGTGACACGCTATGGTGGGAAGCAGAACCCTTGCAATCAGCCTGCAGACCATCTGTCTGGGGAGCTACACAGACAAGAAACATCTAAGACTGTCCACAGTGGCACATACTACACATTAAAGCTGAGAGGGTAAGCTGCTGCTGCTGCTGATGCCCTTTGCCTCAGTGAAGCTGCCTACCTCCACACTTGGAGTGATACCTTGTTTTTGCTTACAAAGTTACTTCAGCAGGAGTCAGGGGTACCAGGAACCTGGATTTTTGGTAGCATGTAAAAGACTCCTGACACATGTCCATTTTAGTCAGACAGACTCTGAGAGTCTAGCAGAGTGAATTACTAAGGTCCTCCTGTGAGGGCTCCAGGGCCATGATTAGGAGACAGGATTGCTTCTGTGTACAGTTTACTGATCAACCACACAAAGCCTAGAAGATTTTAAGGCAAGAAAATCATTTAGCTACAGGATTAGAAAGGTTAGAATGAACCAAAATTACCCATCAGGCCTTGCTACTTACAAGACAGAGGGGAGACATGTGTTCTAATTCCTAAAAGTAACAACTCACTTTGGGTTACTCAGTTTCAAGAATCACCACCCACATTTCTAATGGTAAAACTAAATCTCTAAAACTCCATTTTCTTGTTCAAGAGATGTCCTGTTAGCTTGAATGAGATTCTGGATACTGAAAAAATGACTTTTACAAACTATTCTATAGTATTTTCTTCTCCACCTTAAATAAACCAGCACTCTCCAGATCATTTCAATAAAACACTCCTTGGTAGCAACCAATAAGCAGAGAATCTCTCTCCTTCATACCTGATGTTGAGTGAAGACGTGAGGCTGATGCACTCCTCCCTTCCCTACACACAAGTGCTAGAAATCGATCCAGGGCCTTGTGCAAGGGGGCTTTACCACGGAGCCACATACCAGCCTCTCCTGACAGTTTAGGGCTAATCAGGTCACAATCAAAACTAATTTTCCTCAGGAATATATCAATTTCAGTGCAACTTTCAACCCGAGGGTCTCTTGTATGCCTCCCAGTCTGCTCTCCAGCCTATGATACTCGTGTCTCAACCACCTCTCCTGAGTGAGTGATGGTACGTGAGCCGCTGGTCACGGCATGTCCATCTTCCCGGCTGCCTCGTCCTTGTAGCTTTACCACAAGCATGCAATTATTCTTACGGAAACCCTCTAACCCAAAACCACCAGCTAACCTTTACCTGAGAGTTTGTGAGTCAGAATTACTCCAGCTCCAGCACCCCACACTTCTATCTACGATCTTCTACTGTGACCCTACATGTTCTCTTTGCCACTCACTCATCAGTAAAGAACAATCAACACTTCCCCCGCTCCAAACTTAGTACTGCATTTATTTTGGGTGTAACTTTCTCACATTTGTCCAGAGAAGCTCCCTCGATGGCTCTGAGGTCTTCAGGCTACAGTCTCCTTCCTGGGCACGCCATCACTTACTGGTATAACAAGCTATCTGAAGCTTTTTTTTTTTTTTACCTATTCTGTCCAACCTTGGTTCCTTCTAGTTAGGAATGGTTTGAGGGACTGGGCTCTAGCGTTTCACTGCTACTGGGGCGTCTTTGCTTTCAGCAGAGTTAAAAAAAAATTATGTATGTATTTGTATATAGACATAACTAAACACACATATATGTATATAGGCATCTATACATCTATCGATATATTTGTTAGAAACCATGAACTCCTATCAATACAACTTCAGTACATTCACGTTTTTTTAAAGTCTTTCTCTCATTCCATATGATATGCCCCTTCTTCTACAGTAAGAACAGCAGTTCCCAAGTGTTGATACACCTACGCATTTACTTACTTGTTCAACCCTGTAACATACTTGATGGAGTTTTGTTGCGTTACCCACACTACCACAGTAAACCAACCACTAAAGAGGAGTTCAAGTTATCTGCAATTCTTTGCAACTATACACTCTACTCTGCCCATGACTGCACACACACATTTAGTGACATTTAGTGCTGGAGTTGTTTGAAAACTCCAGAAGTTTCTTCATGCATGTATATATATACACACTTCCACGACGATTGTTTTTTTCCAATTTCATTTTGGATCCCCAAGAAGGTGACAGAATTAAATATACTGTATCCTGACTCTCAAGGATGTAGGGCTCTGATAAGAATAATAAGGATTCCATTTATGCAACCAGCCTATGTCAGGCAGGTCCATTCAAAGGTATGCTGTGCCTGCAACAACTGTAGACATTGTCTTAAATATGGGTTCCACTTCTGTAGGAATGTGTTTAGTGACTTGTTCATGCTGATTTGATGAGCAACACACCTGTTCCCCTCTATAGATGACATATTCAGCATACGCCAGCCCGTTGACACTTGGTCTACCAATAACCGAGTGATGTCCTGGAGGTGCGTGGGCCATTTTCATGGTGCTGAATTGCAGAAAAGACTTTCCAAGGGTCACTCTACAGAAAAGCATTTGTCTAAAGGGAGGATGAAAACAAATATGTTCAAAACACTTTAAATCTTATTTTTTTTAAAAAATCAATATTAATTAATTAATTAATTAATTAATTCACATCCCAAACGCTGACCCTTTCCAGGTTCCCCTCACACAGTTCCTCTCAACACTTTAAATCTTAAAATGTCACTCTTAGGTTTATTAGCTTCCTATAGAAAATTCCATAGAATGCAAGCTAATTGAAATGCTACTTGCAAACCTGCGTGTAGTAATGGGATAAATGTGATGTACTGATATACTACTTAGCAATTATCCGGCTCGATATCAAGTTAGATCCACAGATGAAGGCAGTTTTGGAGTAGCATAGGACTCCGGTGTAGAAAATACCTGATGTGACCTGTACCAAGTGCAAAAAGACACTGCAGAGAACTGAGCTTTCCCACAATGCACAGGAAGGGAGGAAGGGAGGAAGGGAGGAAGGGAGGAAGGGAGGAAGGGAGGAAGGGTGGGAACAGCATCTGAGATTGACACTGTGAGCTGGGTTTGTGAGACGGAGGAGCGCAGCCTCACATGTCGTCTTTGCCTTCTACCTTGTTAAAGACAGAGTTTCTTTGATGATTCTGCCCATGAGTAACCAGATGGCTGCCCGAGACCTCGCAGGGACTCTAGGAAAGTCTAAGGCTTACAAACCACTCATGCTATGCATCTGGCTTTTATCTAGAGTATGGGGACTCAAACTTAGGTCACCATGCTTGTGTGGCAAATGTTTTTACCCTAAGCCACCTCTCCAAGTAAGATCAGGCTTGATTCCTTATGGGTAAACACTAAAAACTGTGATGACAGAATAAGAAAAGTAGATTAGGAACAAAAATATTTAGACTAAATATATGACTGAAAATCTAATACCTGGCTAAAATTGAGGCAGATGTTAAATGTTGTACAGAGTAAAAATTATAAACCATAGCGATCAGTTTAAAACTAGTTGGTACCTGTTTTTTCTTTTTTTTTGGCTTTTTTTTTGGCTTTTTTTTTAAAGACAAGGTTTCTCTGTGTAACTCTGGCTGTCCTGGAACTCACTCTGTAGATCAGCCTGGCCTCAAATTCCTAGAGATTCACCTGCCTCTGCCTTCTGAGTGCTGGGATTAAAGGTATGTGCCACCATGCCCAGCTGGCACCTGGTTTTCTAAATATAATTTTACTAGACTAAAACCATGCACTCATTTACACAGTTGCTTCTGCACTCCGAGGGCAGAAGTCTCTGACGAGGATACATGGCTGCAGAGCCCACGGTAATTATTATCTAATCCTTTACAAAAGTCAACCTTTAAATACTATGCGTTTTAGCTATATAGTACAATTAGCCGCACTGTTAAATACACACAGCCTGTAGTAATGGAGTGCGGTCTCCGTATTACTGAGTCCTGACTGGCTGGCTTTGTAGCTGATGTCCCTGGTGATCCTTTGGGGTAAAGGCTTGCTATCAATTGTAGTTTCTTGTAGATCTTGTAGGAAAAAAAGGTCTCACTCTACATTATAAATAGACTATTTATTTCAAAGGTTTATTTTTTTTTTTTAAGATTTATTTATTTATTATATATGAATACACTGTAGCTGTCTTCAGACACACCAGAAGAGGGCATCAGATCTCATTACAGATGGTTGTGAGCCACCATGTGGTTGCTGGGATTTGAACTCGGGACCTCTGGAAGGGCAGTCAGTGCTCTTAACCACTGAGCCATCTCTCCAGCCCCCTCAAAGGTTTATTTTTATTTTACATTGCATGACTGTTCTGCCTACATGTATGTATGTGCCTGGTACCCAGAAAGGTCAGGAGGGAGAGTCAGATTCCCTGAAATGTGTACCTGGAGTTACAGATGGATGTGTGCCATCATGAGAATGCTGTGAACTGAACCCAGGCTGTCTGCAAGAGCAACAGTGCTCTCACCCACAGAGCCCTCTCTGCAGCCCCCAGAGGCCTCTTCAGCTCCATCTTTACCATCAGGGCAGCAGTGTGCTGTCAGCAGATTTTGTCACTGTCCATCTGTTGTACAATACAATACTTGACCTGACAGGCCTTGGCCTCCTGTTTTCTGCTTTCAGGAGCGAACTTTTATCTGCAGGACCTACTGAATCAGCACATGAAGAAGCAAGTGAACAGGTGCTGATGCTGGCTCGCTTCCTACTTGTGGTGTTTGTAGATCCAACAGCTAAGAAGCACAGGGGTGAGTGCCTGGGGAGCAAACGCTGGCAGACACAAGGCAGGAGGCAATAGAAATTCATTCCTTTTCTCCACTTGAACATGACTGTTCTGATACAGCAGTTTCTATAGCTTCTCTGAAGGCATCTCATGCACTTGTTAATGGAGCCGTAGCCAGCTTGCTCCCCATGCTCATCATTGAGTGTGCTCTGCCTCCTTCTTGCTTCCCAGGGACAACCCTTGCCAATGGTGTGCCAGCTGCATGCTTTTGCTCAGGCTCCATCTCCTAGGAGACAGTGGCTAGGATTTTACTGAGCGCCCATTAAACCTCAGCTAGGTTCACTTTATTGTTCATTTTAGATTTACTTTGTCTCCACAAGAGGCATGCTGGGACACTACTGATCCTTAGGAATTTCTGATTTTTAACCACAGTGTTCTAAGTGGAGAATGGTTTCCTTCTGAGCATATGGTATCCATCTTAGATTGCTGATGACCAGTCTAAAGAATAATGCAACTGCAGATAAATTTAAAGGCATTAGTTATAAAGAGTTTCAAGATAACATTTTAAGGTATTAACTGAATCATAAGATACCCTACATAACTTATGAAAACAATACAATCGAGTGGCTTAAAAAGCAATGTATGGCGCTCTAAACTTGGTCAAATACCCATGGCTGGTGAGGGCTCCGGGGGGAAGATACACTATTGCTGTTTTGGTAAATGGACATGGTACCAAACTACCAATGAGATATTTACGTGTTACCTGTCTACAGTACTGCTCTCAATCCCAGAGAAACTTCTTGTAGGAGGCAGTAATCAAGGCAGCATTAAACTGGTCAGAGTCCTGAGAGTAAGAAACTGTGTGTGCTCAGTCCTAAATGGGACATTGACATCAACCTTTTCCAAGGCTCAGGGAACCTTGTAGGGGTCAGGATGGAAAGAAGAGAAGAGCAGGAGGATGGGGGAGTGTGACATGCTGCTTTAGGGTAGCATAGCCACTGAAGTCATGAAGTCACAGCAGCTATGATCACCTGCACTGGATCAAGCCCATCTATATATTCTTGAATAGTCGGGAGCATGGCGCTGTACCCCTAGTGGCAACTGAGCACTGTTGGGAGACAAAGTTTATTTTTCTTTGGGGGTACAGGTATAGAAAGTCACCCACTCCAGTTGGAACCCCACACTCAGGAACATTCTGGTAGCTCAAATGAGAGAACTCACTAGATATGAGGGGGAGGGAAAGCATTGGCAGGGTTAGGGCTACATAGAGGGGATGTGGGCTGGATTCAATGTGGACATGGATGATTGCCAAAGAGTCAATGCAAACAACTACACTAAATCCCCATCGTCTTCCTCTCCTGCAGTGAGGAGAGAAACGCTGCCTCCTCACTCGCTGCCATGTTATCTTTTTCAGCTTCTCAGTTACAGAGTCCTACTTGAAAAAGCTGATATTCATCTGTCTGCCAATTCCCAAGCTGATATTCTGAAGGTGGGCTTCCCCCGGGGAATTATTATGCTCCTAAAAACAAGCACTCCACTAGCTCATCAGCATGCAGACTTGAGTCTAGTCTTTCACCTTGACCTCAAACGTTCAGGTTTGATGGTGGCCAGAAGGGCTCTGTTTTCAGTGAGCATTAAGGTTCCTGCCTCTGACGGAGGACTGAAACACAGTTCCGCTGCAGCCTACAGAGTGCACGTGTGTCTGTCTGGACCACTGGGACCAGCACCACAGTCACTGCTCTAGGGCAGAGGTTAGCTGAGGGTAGCAACATTGCAGTCTAGGCAGGATGCTCACCTGTGGCATATATAACACGACCTGTCCTTGTGCGTGGGACAGCCTGTTCCCCCTCCGATTCCATAGACATACTGATTGCTTTTTGAGGAGTTTTCGGCAAAGTAAATTCCAGCTCCAAACATCCCTCCAATGTATGCATGTCGCTCATCAAACCCTTTGTGAATAATTGCATTAATGAAAGGAGAACCTAGAAATATAAAGGTGAAAACATTAGTTTTTCAACACTTAGCCCTTTACTATTTTTATCGAATGCAGTAATGTTCACAAAGAAAAACAAAAATAAAAAAAAAAACCACAGGTGGCTCAACCTGGAACCTGAGTTTAGCAGCAAGTTCAGAAAGTCTGCTTTGAGAAGCCCACACTAACATGCATAGCACTAGGAAACTTGGCATTATTTCAACCAAAAAAGTGCAAACTAGTCATCCCAATAGAACGAACGTTCCTAAGGGATGCCACAGCCCTGCCCACTGCTGAGTGCCCAAGTGCAGGCCGTGCTCACCGTGGAACAGCATGCGCTCATTGTGATGGTTGTGGTTCTCCTCAGATACCTCCTTCTGTCTGTGACAGAATCGCTCCCTCAGCTTCTTGTTCACAACTTTCTGAATCTTCATAAAGGACAAAAAAATACTTTTATTAATTAAATTTCCATTTAAAATAACAAATAGTTTTCCCTTTGGTGATGTCAATTTTGGTTTTTTTTTTTTTTTTGGATTGACATAGTATCTAAAAGTCACCATATCAGTTATTGGTTGTTCATGGCTTATTTTGATATACCAGTATAATTCCTGTAAGTCTATTAAGAAAGGATTAATCCAGTTTTCAGCAGATGTAATTAACTTTCATGAATACTTCCGAAAAAGCAGGTAATGGCACCATCAATTTTTTTTTCTGTGATTTAAGAGATAAACTCATTCTGACCTCATCAATAACAAGCAGACTGCCATCTAGGCCTTATTAAGTGCTACTTTCAAATGATTTTAAAATGAAGTTACTGCTGTTGAGGGTCCAAATCTGAGGACGCCATGAGTGAGGCCCCAGCCACTTCTATGAGTGACCTTTTGCTTGGGCCGTGGCTGTTCTCACTGAGGCCCAGGATGGTCTTGAGTGTTAGAGGTTGTAGTGAAGAGGACAGCATTTGATTTCAGAACAACAGATAAGTATCTTTCACAATTTGAATTTTTTTCTTCCAAAATTGTTAGAGTTCATTTAATATCTAGATTATTTCTGTGTTAGCTTTGCAATGTGACTTCCACCATAACAATCTGCTGTCTTACTCGAATGACATTGTATCTGCTGAAGATGCCACCGGCATTCCCACCGTCTCTGTGCTCTCGAATGGTACTCTGCATCTGCAGGACAAAGGGAAGCAATTAACTCCATCTGAGTCAGGAGCGAGCATTCCTTCTGCCGCATCTAGGTAATAGTTCTTCTATCTGTCTCCCTGGGGAGTCTGAAGCTCAATCAGTAGTTCACTACAAACTGATCAACAAATTTAATGAGTATTTGTGGTGATAAAATAGTCATAAATACTAATGAAAGCACTTTCTGATAAAAATTTTGGAGGTTTTTTTTTTTTGTAAACACTACAGGTAAACTGGAAAAAAAGCACTTTAAAAATGTATAATTACTATTTTATTAAGAATGAAAAGAAATTGAATAAATCAAACTAAAACGATATTCAACTGGTACCACATTAGATAAATGCTAAAAATAAATATTTTAAAAATATTTTTTGTTCCATTTTATTTCAATAGTCTTTGGGATCTTAATACAGCAACTTAGGCAAGGGAAGCTGAGTATACTTCATAGTTAAACAGAATAACCTTCTGAGCATTGGAACTCTGCCACTCCCAAACTTAAATAATTATTATGGAAAAAAACTTGTAGTGTCTTGGGCTGTGGGTAGAACACCTGCTGAACATGTGCGAGGCCCTAGGTTCCTAGGCAGCATCACAGAAATGCCCGAGTCCCTGACATGTGACTGGTGGACCTAGCTCTACCCACGGCTCCATCTGCAGGGATGTGCAGCCGCCTCTTACATGACCAGAACTTACTATGGGGACGACCGGACAGTAAGGCCCTTGAAGTCATGATGCCTTCCTGATAACCTAATACGAACTGAACTATGACTCCAGGGAAACCATCCTGCGCTCTCTAATGTCACTTCCTAGCATTGAATATGAGCACTAGTTAAAAAAATAAAAACCACAAACAACAGAAAATCCTTAACTGCAGGCAAAGCCATGTCTGCTTGAGTGTTTGTATAGTAACAGAATGGGAAGTTTACTCACAATAATGGAAGGAGGGGCAAGGAATAGAAGCCATCAGCCCAGGAGGAATTTCTTCCTTTCTTTTTTTTTTAAAAAAGATGTATGTATGTATGCATGCATGTATGCATGTGAGTACACTGTCACTGTCTTCAGACACATCAGAAGCAGACATCAGACCCCATTACAGATGGTTGTCCACCATGTGGTTGCTGGGAATTGAACTCAGGACCTCTGGAAGAGCAGTCAGTCAGTGCTCTTAACCACTGAGCTAGCTCTCCAGCCTGCCCTCACCGGAGGAACTTCTATGCCATCTTTCTACAAGGAGGTTCAAAGCAGTCTTATTATATAAAGTTTGGAATAATTATGATTATGGAAATTAACTGACTCTTCTTTTATCATGAAATCAACATCAGAAAAATGTGACACTCAGGCACATTACTAAAGAAACAATAATTACATAAACCAACAAACAAACAACCGCCCCCCACCCCCCAAAAAAAAAGCCCTAGAAAGTGTATTCTGTCTATGAGGCAAGATTCTTGCCCCATATCAATTTTAGGTGCATTTTACTGTATGAAAGTGTTTTTAAAAGAGTCTTACTTACATGACTTAAAACTGACAAAATCTCTAGAACAAAAAGAGAGAGCTACTTGACACACAGGCTTGTGATGTGAATGAAATGTGTGTCATTTTACTGAATGCCTGCTGCTGACTCAGGCTGAGTAGCAGGTCACTTGACCCTGTAACAAAGTAAGATGAGTCCTTGCCCCCAGAAAAAGTCTTAAAACTTGGGCAAAGAAAAAAACATTCTGATGTCTGTTACCTCTTCTTCTACTGATTGATATTCTTTATCTTCTGGAGCAAGATCTAGCAAAATAGTTCCCTGGTTCACACAGTGAAAAGTCAGATACGGATTGGTTCCTGTAGAAGAGAGAAACAAAAACATAAGGCACGTGTCCACATCACTCAGGTTCCACTAAGTTTCTATAAATACCTGACAGTTTAGAGCAGCCTGCACTATTTTCAGTCTCCACCTCACCAGTCTGTAAGCAAACATACCAAAGGCACAAGAGGAAAGGCAGTGTAACAGCCTCATCCCTCCCATGACCCTGTCTACACAGCAGGGCTCGATAACCGCTGAACCGGAGTCCATCAGGAACGTAGCAGAGGTCTCCACAAAAGAGAAGCAAGTGCTGAATTACAACGGCATGAGTTCTACAAGGACTGCACCCTGAAACTCTTACAGGGATGGCTTGAAATGATGGTGTCACCAACATAACTTATCTCTGTTAATTTCACAGGGCTGACTACAATAGATGTTAAAAAAAAAGAGTCAAATTCAAAGCCTTCTACGTTTTGGTTGCCCGTAATTCTGTCAGCTCCACAGATGTGTGCTCCTTCTCTTCACTTCTCTCCTCTATGGAGAGTGTGTCTAACAAAGGAGATACACAGAACACATGGAGGAGAAGAGGCCTGTGGCAGGGAAGGGCAATGGGAATGGTTGAACTGTGGTCCTGAGGGCAGGAGGAGAGCCCGAGATAAGGCAAGACAGGCCAGGCTGTGAAAACCATAGGGTAAGTGTCTGACTTTATCTGGAAATCAGCAGGGACTGTTGAAGGGTTGAGGGCAGGACGAGAGGTTGACAGGCTTGTGCTGGAGTCCTCTGGAGATGTAGAGAAGGTATCGAGGGAGGTGAACGTACAGGCTGGAGACACGGTGACTCGGGGCCCAGGAGAGGGAGGGAGGGACTGGTGACTTGAGTTAGGTGAAAGCAGGGGACAAAGTACAAAGGTCTGAGCAGTGGAGAGAGAGGGACGATCTCAGACTTGTCCGGCTAGGAAAGTGATTGGCTGAACTGAGGAAGGCAGGGAATTCTGTGCCAGTTGTCTGCATGTGCTCTGAGGTCAGACTACCCAAGCCCCAAATCCAGCCTGTATTTCTTCACTAAGTTCTGAAAATAAGTTTCCCCCCAAACAGCTTACCTTGCTGTCCACCTAAAAGTCTCTCAACACCCTTGATTAGCTTGTGGCGGTGTCCATATGCATTGATGCCTATTTCTTTCAATTCTTCATGACCCATATCAGCCAGTACATCTAGCGTAATCTGAAAATTACATAATAAAATCACATACTAAATCTGTGACGGCTCTTTGGAGGATGAAAGCTCTTGTACCCATCTAGAGTGCTGTGTCTACCACACACATTTAGAGAATATGCTTCCTTTTATACATGTGACCTCCAAGCTGCCTAAGCACACAGGTCATTCTATAAGCGACATCAGAAATCCCAATTTAGAGATGTTCATAAATTATCAGGTTAGCAATGCTTGCTGGCTAACACACATTCAATGTCTGTACAGAACGGCAGCATCTTGAGTCTTGGCGACTCATCTCAGCTTGCGAACTTCCTCACGACTTTGTGGACCACAGTAATTGTGACTCTGCCTCCACCCAGTGGCAAAGCTCTGAAATCACCTTTGGCCACATGTCCAGAGGATAAACACATCTCTACTGCCTTCTCTTTCTTTCTTTCTTTCTTTCTTTCTTTCTTTCTTTCTTTCTTTCTTTCTTTCTTTCTTTCTTTCTTTCGAGAACTGAAATATTCTTTTATAGACATTCTTTTTCTTTCTCATTCAAGATTGAAATATATAATTCTCACTTTCTCAATCCTTACACTGAAGTGACAAATCAGACCGAGCTTTGATTTTTACTATCAAAATGAATACTACACAATGACTGGGATCGTCCGTGCAATAAACAGCACTGCTCATTCTCTGAAGTAATTTAGCACATTACTTCAAGTGGCCATTGAAGAAATTATTGTTTCATGGTACAAAATCTGCAATTCACTTCTAATCACCCAAAGGAAGTTTTCAACAAAGCTATCAAAAGACAGCAACATGGAAATAATCACCTTTGAAATAGAACTGTTTACAAAATAGGAGTCTTTAATTTACATTCTAAGTCAGACCTGATTTTAATGTAATTTGTGAGCCATGCTACCAATACCATCTCCTTCTAGATATTTTATATTTCAGTTTAAATATGGTTAACAATAAAAACACAGCCTCATATATATGAGGTAACTTTAGGTTATATACACCAAAATCTTTTTAATTGATATTCAACGGTGCATAGCTGAAAAGTGTCAAAGTCAGGCTAGAAGACAAAACAAAACGCCAGGGGATATTTCTAATCATGCTCTAAAGAAGAATAAAGAAAGTTTAATATATAGACTTACAATCACAAAATGAATGTAAAAGTCCCTGCCCAAGTCCCCTGCACCAGCAGAGGAACAGCTGGAGTTACTACACTTCAGTTTACAGGGCAGGGCTGAGGGAGCCAGGCTCCTCCCTGCTGTGGAAAGCAGCCTCTAAAATGGCTGCTGGAGATCTTCGGTCTCTAGCATTTGTGTTTTGAATGACAATCCCTCCCCCTTGGGAGTGGGCTATGCTTACTGAGTGGTTACTAATACGATACAGAAGAAATGCCAGGATAGTTCTTTCCCTCTTATATTTAAGTTATTTATTACTTCTAGGCCTCCATTGACTATCTGGTGTGAACAGTTAGAGAATATGCTTGGTATTTGGAGGAAACCACAAGTCTGTCCCCCAAGTTCTTTTCTTTGGGAGAAGGGAGTTACTCATATCTAACATACATCAATATAATCCTTATAATAATAAAGTCTTTTCATTTATAAGCTAAAAATGGCTCTGCATATAAAGTATACGCTGTGCCTATAGGGTTGCCTCCTGCTCCTAAGATTTGCTCATTTTACCTGGGATCTGAAGAGAAAATTAACTATTTTAAGTGAAAAAGCCTTTTCCCTTGGGGTGGGGTGACTTTGTAATCATATTACAATGAATTTAAGGAGCTCAAGCCTTACTTTATGACAACCTGAACAGGATGCATATGCCACTTTCTGTGGAAATCCAAGTCGGAGCAGCTGAGCTCCCTCCAGAAATTATAACAGAAACCAAATTTTCCTTTCCCATAAACAAAGCATTTGAGGTAGGAAGCTATACTACAAGTGTGAGGAGATGTCATATACAACGCTATAGTTAATTAGAAGGGATTTTGATGTTTCTTTATAAAGTATCTATGGAATAAGATGACTCAGAGACTTCTGAGACAGGAATTGTGAAGGTGGAGCTGAGGATATGATGCACTCAAGGACTTCTGGGACAAGAAATAAAATAATTACCTCCCATCACAGGAGGAGAGGAGTATATTCACAGGTAGGGAGAGAAGCCGCAGATTACAGACTACCAGGAGTCTCAGCAAACACTCACAGCAGGAATTAAGCGGACACAATGATGGACCACATTGTCACAGATGACCCCAGTCGGGTATGGGGGGGGCCCTGGGACCAGAGTCCTTGCAGGCTAGGTGGGTAAGGATTTGGCAGTGACAAGCAAAAGCAAACACAGAGGTAGTCTGAATTTGAGTGTATTTTGTAGTTTTCAAGCAAGAGTTTCTATAAGTAAAGAAACAAATACCATAACTCTTAAAAGATGTGTTTAGTGAAGCAATCACGGATATCATCATTGTCATTTGGCACAATAAAGCACAAAAATCATCTAAGTATTATAACTTTGGAAAGATGTGTTTAGTGAAGCAATCACGGATAGAATAGGTAACACTGTTATTCGGCACAATGAAAATCATCCAAGTACTATAACTCTGAAAGGATGTACTTGGTGTGCAGTCATCTAAGGCTGGTGGTATATATCTAAGAGCAGGTCAATAAAGTTTTATGGTCAGTTATTGTTTAACATCTAGTGTCTGATTTTTTGTAAATCTTTAAAGTGTAAATTTAAACTATTTTAATTTTTTTTTATTTGAGACTTCATTTATCATATATCAAAGCCCACTTCTGATGACACATGTATAACCATATGAAATTTTACTTTTGGGAAAGTTTTTATCTATCATAATATTATTATGTAATTTTGTAAATGATTTATGAAATAAAGTACGCTGGTTTTCTCAGACATAAGGTCATGGCTACTGAGCCCATCTTTTTTGTTTAAGATTTTAGCCTAGAGTACCAGGAACATCTCATAAATAAGAAAAGGAATAAAAGAAAATAAAACAGATAAATTGTCATGAGAACTAAGGCTCAATATTTTGTTCCAGCCAAGAGTTCTATAACTGGTTTTAAGAGGCCTCCTTCTTTTGAAGTCTTCCCCTCAGTCTGTAGAACATGTCACACAGATGTTATTGGGGTTGGTGTGGCATCACATGCTTGTTGATACATATTACTAGGCTGCTACAGAATATTTATGACAGAAAATTCTAAAGGTGTGCCGTGGAAGAATTAGGTAGACTTAATATTTTATACCTGAAGACTAGACAGATAACATCTGCACTTGAAATAATAAATGCAAACCTAATTGTCTGCCCAATGGCCCAAAAGATAGTTAAAATAGTTTAAGGCACACCACTATCTAGAGGAGGGGGGCTACACCAGCTAATACATGTTAAGTGCAACAGTTAACATCTTGACTATGAAAAGGAGATAGAAACTATTTTGGACAAAAGAAAATCAATGGGACATCAATTTATTCAGAAGAAAACTGCAGTAAAAAGAACAATAAAACTGATAAAAAAGATAAGCTGACTGAAGGCTGAATCATTAAACTGCTAAGTCAATAACATGAGAAACACGCCACAGGTCAGTTCGTGACCAAGAGAACACTCGACAGGAAGTAAGAGCAAACGGACAAGCTCAGAAACAACAGTTCTCAACAAGAGGTCGGTCCCTTGTGTGAATTAGAGGTTTTGGCTTATTAGACTAAGGTGTGCATGAAATTTCACAATTCCTGCGGACATAAGTCAGAATGAAGAGGCACATATGTGTTCCAACAACTACAAAGCCTCAGTTTACAGTATTCTCAAAGGAAATCTCTAGGGCGAGAGAGTCTGATAGTGGTATGTGACGTTTCCACTACAAATGAAGATCCATGCGATGCCTTAACAAAGTATGACTTAAAATGGGCAAAACTAGGCAATTTGGCCAGAAACGTTAACTACCCGAATATTGCAGGAATGCTTAACTGACTGGTAAGACAAGTGAGAGGCTGAAGCCTCTTAACTCACTTTTACAGTCAGAGGAAAATAAGATCAAGGTATTTATTTAGGTCAATTCTGTTCCAACTATTTGAGTCATTAAAAATAAAAATGTAAAGAAATTTATTTAGCTAAAGAAATAAAAGCTTAAGAAAATGTTAATATTATAAATGATTTAAACATGGGAAAAAAAACCCCGAACACTTTGCAACTATTTTTTGAAGTCAGGTCTCACTAAAGCCCACATTCCCTCTAGCTGGCTCCTCGCTCAGTCTAGCACCAACTCCTGCTCCTTCTGCTTCACCCTCCCAGTTGCTAGCTATAGCAGTGCACCACCTACCTGGACTAACCCAAGACACGTAAGTTAAAGACTGACTATGAGCTTACAAAGAATAAAGAACAGGGCGAAGACCTGCAGAGAAAATTGTTAACTATGCCACATACTGAAAAAAAAAAACAAATGAGTGAGCTTATTATAGAGGGGATACTGTAGAGGCTGATGGCCGGCAAGGGAAGTCTGTGATAAACTGGTGAGGCCGTAAAAAGAGAAGAAGGCTTATACGTGCATGCTGCCGTAGGCCTGACTCTAGCCTTCAAAGAGATAGGTCAGCATCCCTAGAAGGAATATGACCAAAAATGTTAACATTTTTAACATGCTTTAAAATGCTTAAGGCAAGAATCTTGGAACCAGCAATCACCCAGGAGGGCCCAAGTTTAAAGGAAGTGTCCCAGTAAGAGGTACATGAGAAGGCAGACACGGGACAAGACAATGTGACAACAGCTGCAGAGACTTGAGTAAGGTGGCCTGTGTGTGACCTAAGTCAGGGAGGCTGGAGGGGCAGGGAGTAGACTATTCTAGAACTGCTACAGGGAGTGTACCCTGACAATGTGAATTCCGTTAGCAACCAAGTCTGTGGTCATTTACTATGTAGCTCTACCAAACTCAGTGCACATACTAAGTAAGTAATAGACTTTTGTGCAAAACAAGATAAAAACAAACCTGAAACAAACAGATTGAGCATGGGGTAGATTGTGGAACATAAGTCACAAAATAAAGATCTGAAGAGGGCCCTAAAGCTGACTAGACTTCTTCCCCGACAGAAAGGCTGACGTGGGTATGAGGAGGAAACGGTGCACTGGGTCTGAGTGACTCTCTGTCCACCAGTATACTAAACCCAGCAGTCTCCTCTTCAGTGTTTACCATGGGGCACGGGAGTAAGAACTTGTGACCCTCGACAACAGTCTGGCCAACAAAGGCTCTCACTAGTAGGTGCAAGCACATGAGCTGATATATGCCAGCTTCTTTTGGAAACAAAACAACCCCAGAAAAACTGAAAATATTCTTGAGATAGGTTCTTGATCTAAGTTCACCAAGTGCTCTCCCAGCAGGCTGCAGCCTCCTTTCTCACATCGAACCTGACTCAGACTGCACTGAGCAAAACTGCTCCTACGGAGGAAGGATAGCTCTCTCTCTCAACTGCCAGAGTCTGGAGATGAGCAGAAAGTGCTGGGGTCTCTGGTTCTCTACAGATATTTGAGGCAGGAAACAAACAAGGTAAAAATATACTTAAAACTGGGGCAGACTGCAGAACAGTGTAAGTCACAAAATAAAGAGTATACATAAGACAGAAAATAGCTGCAAAATTTAAAAAAAGTGTCAATAACTCAATAATTGAAAAGCAGAAAAAGATTGCGAGTGTTTACCTGCTCTGTTTCAAAGATATCCCGAAGATGTTCAAGGCCAAGGCTTTTAAGGAATTGGCTGATATTCATGTCAAGACCCGCAACTAAAACAAAACCATTAAAATCTCTTAGAATTTTCTAATTCTATGGAAGGTCAGTATTTATGTGTAACTCTATTTTTTGACACTTGCCTATATAGATGATTTTACATGACATAAACTAATACCAAATATGTCAATTTAATCAGGCACTTCCAAGTTATTCTGAAATTTATCTCTGGTATAGCAATAGTACTTACATTAATTCTAATAGACATAGAATATAGAACTAAAATACAGATGTATATATTATAATATATAGTGAATATAATTTCTAATATATTTTTATATAGTTTAAAACATTTATTTTTAGCTTTGTGTATGCTTTGATGCATGAGTACATGCATGTTGAGTGTTTCCCTGGAAGGCAGAAGGAGTGAAGGGGGTTCTGAAGCTAAGCAGTGTGGGTGCTGGGAACTAAACCAGGTCCTCTACAAGAGCAGTGCCTAGGCTCCAGACCATATTTGATAGAATTAGTACTTTAAATGAATTAAAAGAAAAGAAGAAGAAAAAAGGTACCAGTTACTATTGATTATTCTTTTTAAGAATTATTTTTGTTTATTCCTGTGTGTATAGTGTATGTGGAGGCCAGAGGAACGCATTTAGCAAGTCTCAGGAATCCTTTTTCCTTCTCCTTTGCCCTCATATCTCCCAAGCCTGTCTTTGACAGGGTCGCACCATGTAGTCCTGGATGTCTTTGAACTCAAAAGCTTAAAGACAAGCTATCTTTAAGCTTTCAATAATAAAAATAAAAAAGTAACTGGTCCACTGAAATAAGTACAAACATTCCCAGAGATGCACCTACCTTCTCCTTCCTTCCTTTCTGCACCCGCGGCACCATCCCCTGCATTGGAGGCCCCTCCTACAGCCAGCTCCGCTAAAGGGCCAGTGAGGTTATCTATGCTGCTGGCAGCAGAGAGGCAGGAGGGGGTGGATGCTGGTGAGATCAGGGAGGCACTAACTACAGTTGCCTGAGGTTTAAAACAGGTAGGTAAGGCCTCAGGGGGCATGGCATCTATCAGCAAAGCCCGGATGTCATCAGCCTAAAAATAATGATTAAAGAAAACACAAAAACCATTATTAATACTAAGTTTTTCACTAAGTACCATATGTTTTGTAATTTTTTCTTTAAAGAGTACCTGTCATAAACAGTGACAGTGATTTTGGTATCACATGTTGAGTGGTGGCTGTAGACACAGGCAGTGAAAGCAAAGGAGGCTGGTTACACATGGAATACCACAGAAGTACAGAAGGAACTGAGGCACTACACGGTTTTGCCTAACAAGATTTCCAGGAAGAATGCCAACTTGGCCACATGAAGTACCAGTTTAGTCCTGGAAGGTAACGTGAGGCCTGAAGTCCTAATGAAGAGTCATCACTGCAACAAGACTTACCGTTGCCAGATCTAAAGGTGTCTGACCTTCCTGGTTCTTCATGGTTGGGTCTGCGCCATGTGCTAGGAGCAGGGCACATAACTGTGTCCGTCCTTTCTGGGCAGCTTCATGAAGGGGGGTAAAGGCCCACTTGTCCGTTGCGTTTACACATGTGTTGTATTTTATCAGTAATGCTGCTATATCAACATGCTGAGAAAATCAAGAGAACACAGAAGCTTAAGAAGAAAGGAAGGCGGCAGAATTCCGTCAGGTACTCTTGCTACTATTTAACCATTCCATCTAGGTCCACGTTCCCATCCTTAATACAAGTTTCTTAAAATCAAACAAACACAACCCCTCTACTGTGCTTTGGACTTGTCTCCTCCACAACTATCCTTTTGCCCCTCTAAGCTGGGTCTCATGTAGCTCAGGCTTGCCTCGAACTACTTATTTACAAAGTAAGATCATTAATTCCTAAGACAGGCTTCCCGCCCCTGGTAACATGATAATGAAGACGGAAGGAGGGCTGCACAGAACAACTAGGATTCTTCTCAGAACAGGCTAGTTTATTATGCTTTAAGATTCTTTGGGATAATGAGATTATAACTAATTTTGCAGTTTATGTTTAAATGTCTAACATGAAAGCTATCTATGTATGATTCTATCAAAATCACTTTCAAAAACAAACAACCAAACAAACGAAGAACCCCAATTTATCTTCTTTATTCAAAGGATGTTTTGGAAACGCAACTTCTGTTCAATCAGTCCGAAAGCATGGGATAATTTCAAATTAGTCCTCAGATGATATTACAAGTTACTTAAACTGTGTTTCCTGCATTTTATTAAGAAGAACACAATTTGGTAGAATAATCTGCACAGACTTCTAAAATTAGTCCAAAAAAAGTTATGGTTTATATATACGTGGGTGTGTAAATGAGCTGTGGGCTCAGTATGCACTGTTAAACTTTTTTTTTTATTGAATTTACAGTGTCTTTAGTGAAACCAATTACATGCTTGCTAAACTGGCTGGCAAATGTCTAAAAGACCAGTGCAGAGGAAGGACTATCACTGAAATAGCATAAACACAATTCTTTATAAGTAGCTATACCTCTGGAGCAAGCAACAGTAACTGAAATGCACAAGTGAGCTACAGCTTAGCTCTTGTCACTCGGGACCAGAGGACTGAGTGAGAAGGCCAAGACCAGGAGCCGACTACCCTGGAGAAAGACACTAAGCGCTGTAAGTGACAACACTTGAATAAAAACGGGGACTCAATGTTAAAATAGTGGACAATAGAAGAGAATGCGGGCTACAGCTAACCCATTTAATTGTATGTGCTGTCTACTACAGTGATGGCACGAAGCCTTCAGATATAATCTATGTTTTAGGGAAATCACTGCAAAATGAAACAGTTGAGAACGAAAACCAACCTGCCAAATGATTTATCTTTATAAAATCACATGCTTTTGGTAAGGAATAAATATCGGTACTTTTATATTTATTAATATCACAGAAATGAACTGTCTTTTGTATGTATAGATAAAGAGATAATACCTAAACACACTATAATACAAAGGATACTAAGCAGAATAAGGCACATTATCATAAAGAAAAATTCTCATGAAATTTGTAACTTTTACTTAAGTTTCTTCTATTTTTTTCTCCATTTGAAAAAAACTGAGGTAGCTTTTAATTTTTTTTAAAGTTACAAATCCAAATAGCAGACTAAGCTCAAACGAAAGATAGTAGGAAAACGCTCTCTCTCTCTTTTTTTTTCTCATTTGCAGACAGAAATGGAAAGCAGGAACTGTGGATACCTACCAAGTAGGTTTATATGAAAATGACCAGTGGGAGGAGCCACTACATCACCTGAGAGCCTGGTACACAGGAACTGCAGTCAGGGGATCTGAGTCAGAGAGGGCTATGTACAAACGCAGAAAGCTAGTTCTGACAAACAGCATCAAGGCACTGCAGTGCGTCCTCTTCCTGTTGAACACAGTTCAGTGCCTGGAAAGACGGCTTTGCACTTTTATTTGGCAGCTTATCCCTCAGCTGAATGCTATTAAATTGTGTGCAAACTGCTTAACCACTTAGCCTGACACGTTTAAGATTCTAGAGATAAATGGAGGTAGGTACAGTCCCATACCTACTTAGGAGCCTCCTGGCTTTAATAGTGTTTAAAAGCTATCCAAGATAGAGGTAAGATTTCTATATGACCCAGTACATATTGGTTGTGTTAGAGAATGTGCAGAGACACAGAAAGCTTTCAAAATCTCATCAAAAAGGAACTATGTGGGAAGGTATGACAAAGCTTATATAGATGATTAATCTGCACTCAACTCGGCTCCAGGTTAGCAATCTGTTGCATAACCTGTAGTCCATGATTAGTAAAGTATCAAATGCCAGGGAAGTCTTCTAGACGTTCCCTGTGACATGCTTACCCCGTAAGATGCTGCGTTGTGAAGTGGGATTAAACCTCCTTTGTCCTGGGCATTAACATCAGCTCCATGCTCTAGAAGGTACTCAGCTACTTCCAGGTTATTGTAGCCTGCTGTTAGAGTGAAAGGGGACACGTCAGGTCAACTCACACATGTACAAGGAAAGACCAGGAAACATTAAGATTTTAATTTTTTTCTTCAAAAGCTAATATTAACTTTATATAACTTAGTCACGTGCCAGTTTCTTTCCCAGGCACCAAGTGTGAGTTGGAAGGTCTTAGGACAGTGTGCAGGAGCTGATCCTCTTGGCTGACCATGTGAGCTGTGGGACTTGAACTCAGGGTGTGAAGCTTGCTGATAAGCCGAGTTACCTGTTTGGCTATCTCACCAACCTTTCACCTTTCAAGCCAAGTGGCTAAGCGCCTGGCACACAGTTTACTGAAGGGACAGCGAGATGACACAGTGCGCTTACCTGCCAGGTGGAGAGGAGTTGAGTTTCTGCCCTGAGTGTCTCGGCAGTTGATATTCTCTGGAGTACAGAGCTTCTGCACTCTGGCCAGGCAGCCCTTCTTGGCAGCATCCAACAGGGCAGCATCACCCCTCAGGAGGTCCTGAATATCTGTGTCTCCTTCTTTGACCAGATCTAGGGGTGTATTTCCATCTCTGTTCTTCTTAGTTGGATCTGCTCCATGCTGTAGAGACAAAAACCGAACAGTGCACGTGCAAGTGGGTAGGTAGCACATACAGAATTACTTCATTTACACTCTGTACCTTCATTCAGCTGGAAGGAAATCTATCCTATATCCACTCTGAAAATAGTAATCTAAATTCTGCTTTATCTTGCAACTGGGAGAGTACTGAGAAGCTTTCGCTTTTCTGTGACAAATGTTTCCCAAGACTTGAAGTTGTCTTTGAAAATCTCTTATTTCTTATAATGGTCTAAATGTTAATTTGGCCAGACTTCAGTTGCACTACACACACCTACACACACCTACACACACACACACACACACACACAGAGAGAGAGAGAGAGAGAGAGAGAGAGAGAGAGAGAGAGAGAGAGAGAGAGAGAGATATTTTTAATGATAAAATTAGGGTCTCACACTTGGTAGCTACTCACGCCACTACTGAATTATGGTTCCAACTCAAATTGGATAAAGATAGTTAGGCAGCATCATGAGAAAGAAAAAAAGGAATACACAGGAAGAAAAAAAATACTAAATGGCATCAGTTAAAAAAAATTCTGATAATTTAAAATGTATTTCATGATGTATAAATGTATTTCAAAAAACTACCTTGGCTTAAAATAGCTACAACTATAAGCCAAGAAGTTTTATTATAGACCTGATACAGAAAGCTGTTGACCTACTGTGGAAATGAAGAATAATCTAAGCTAGCCAGGTGTGGTGGCACGAACCTTTAATTCCAGCATTCCTAGGGACAGAGTCAGGTAGATCTCTGTGAATTCTAGGACAGCCAGGGCAATACAGTGAGACTTTCTCTTAAAAAAAAAAAATGAATGAAGAAACAAACAGAGAAGCACCTAGAGAAATGTTCAGCATCCTTAGTCATCAGGGAAATGCAAATCAAAACAACCCTGAGATTCCACCTTACACCAGTCAGAATGGCTAAGATCAAAAACTCAGGTGATAGTAGATGTTGGCGAGGATGTGGAGAAAGAGGAACACTCCTCCATTGTTGGTGGGATTGCAAGATGGTGCAACCAATCTGGAAATCAGTCTGGTGGTTCCTCAGAAAACTGGACATATCATTACCTGAGGACTCAGCTATACCACTCCTCGGCATATACCCAGAAGATGCTCGAACATATAACAAGGACATATGTTCCACTATGTTCATAGCAGCCTTATTTATAATAGCCAGAAGCTGGAAAGAACCCAGATGTCCTTCAACAGAAGAATGGATACAAAAAATGTGGTACATTTACACAATGGGAATATTACTCAGCTATTAAAAACAATGAATTCGAGAAATTCTTAGCTAAATGGATGAAACTAGAAAATATCATCCTGAGTGAGGTAAACCAATCACAAAAGAACACACATGGTATGCACTCACTGATTATTGGATTTTAGCCCAGAAGCTTGAAATACCTAAGATTCACAGACCACATAAAGCTCATGAAGAATGAAGACCTAGTGGGGGTGATTCGGTCCTTCTTAGAAGGAGTAACAAAATACTCAAGGGAGCAAATATGGAGACAAAGTATAGGACAGAAACTGAAGGAGGGGCTGTCTAGAGACCATTCCACCTGAGTATCTATCCCATGTGCAGTCACCAAAGGCAGATGCTGATGTGAATGTCGGGAAGTGCATGCTGACAGGAGCGTGATATAGCTGTCTCCTTCGAGGTCTGCAAGAGTCTGACATATTCAGAGGAGATGCTCACAGCTAACCATTGAACTGATCATGGGGTTCTCAATGGAGGAGTTAGAGTGAAGACTGAAGGAGTTGAAAGGGTTTGTGACCCAATGAGGAAAGCAACAATAACAACCAACCAGAGCCCCCAGGGTCTAAACCACCAGCCTGGGAGCACTTAGGGAGGGATCCATGGCTCCAGCTGTATATACAAGGGAGGATGATCCTGTCAAGTATAAGTGGGAGAGGAGATCCTTGGTCCCCATGAAGGCTGGACACAGTGTGTGTGGGAATTCGAGGGTGGGGAAGTGGGAGTGGGGGGGTAGGTGGGGGCACATCCTCATAGAAGCAGGAGGAGGGGGATGGGATAGAGGGTTCCTGGGTGGGGTGGGGGTGGGGAATGGGGTAAGGGGATAACATCTGAAATATAAATAAAATATCCAATAAAAAAATACAGTGACAAAAAAATGAATGAAGAAACAAACAGAGCACAGTATTCAAATTAGACAATGGATTCATAATGATCTATAGGTGATTTTTAAAAAAATTATCTATCTAGTGGTAATACTTGCTGTATATATTATAGTATTAAATAAACTATAAACTGGATTTACATATAACAATACTTTTGTCTGGTTAAAAAAAGATGAGAATCCTTACAGATGTAAGACGTATTGCACGACTTACATGTTGACATGAGTCTGTGGTATTCAGTAAGGAATGAGTCAACAGTACTATTAGTTACGACAGCAGCAATATAAATGTATCTCCAGGAATGACCTGATGGAAAAGTTCCTACGGCCATTGTTCTCTAACACTAACGATACATTAGATAACCCACGTAAATTAAAACCAACTCTCCCCAGAACCTTCTTTGGTGAAATGATCTCATTGAGTCAATTCAGAAAAACCTGTCAGGATCTAACCGGAGACAGCCTCCTTCTCACTTGTTTCCAATAGATTACAATGGATGAGTTTCTAAAAAGCAGTAACTAAACCCAGGCAGCTGTGTCATATCTACATACTTTCAGAAGGAGTTTGCAGATTTCATATTTTCCTTTGGCTGCCGCTTCATGGAGAGGGGTAAATTTCCACAAATCTGCCACATTGACAGAAGCCCCGTGCCTCACCAAGAGCTCAGCTACTTCGTAGTGTCCATAGGAGCAGGCATTATGAAGGGGAACCAAGCCACTAAACAAAAGAAAACAGTCACAAGACAAATATTTCAGCTAAAATAATGTTTATAATAGTGGTGCATGCTTATAGACTTAGTACTTGGGAGGGAAAGGCAGGAGTTCAAGATCATCCTCAGCGAGAGAGGGAATTCAAGCCAGCATGGGCTATGTGAGACTCCACCTCAAACCTTCCTCCTACTCACGCTCTATGGCTCCGAGCATACTGAGCATCACTCAGGAAGAAATACTTCCTCTCCGGTCTCTAACATGGGCCCCATTTCTAGCAGGGACTAATACTTTTTACTAGTTATTACTGTGTGTGTGCATGTGTCACGATGCACGTGTGGAGGTCGGAGGACAACTCTGTATGTCAGTTCTCTCCTTATACTTTATGCGTGTTCTAGGGATCAAACTCAGGATAGCAGCTTGCAGAGAAAGGTGCCATTAGCTGCTAAGCCACCTCACTAATTCAAACATTCATAATTAAAAAAAAAACAACTTTTCAATATAAAGCCTTCAATCACAGCAATCATTAATCTTGAAACAATATATATAGTGATTTATTTTTACCAATCTATCTACTCATCTATTCTCATATACATATGCTATATATGTATATATAGCATATATATTTATTTATCACTCATAGAATAAAATATGATACTATTTTTGGTAGCACTAGGATTAAAAGTCAGGGTTTCCTGCATGCTAGTGGCACTCTATCACTGAGCTACACAACTAGACTTTTCAATTTAAATATAGGTTTTCTTAAACTCATTCTATAAGCCAAGCAGACACTGAGTTCAAACCTACTGCCTCAGCCTCCCAAGTGGCTGGGACCCCAGGGCTTCTTAACACAATCCTTTTAATTTTTACTTGTACCCTAGCAATGGAGAGCCCCGTATAATACAAAGTATTAGCATGAATAATTAACCAATCTGCTTTTTATCATCTCTCAGATTTTCTTTGATTTGTATTTTACTAAGGAAAATTGCCAGCTTACTTATGATACATAATATAAAATAATGTAATATATAATACATAAAACATAAACTACATTCCACTATTCAGTCGGCATCTTTCACCACTTGTTTTAGTTGTTTTTAAGTTCATAATGATTCCATAGTGGCCTCTCTGTATAACTTAAACATTGAGGAACAAAACAATGAAAACTCAAAGTGAACTTCAAAGAGACTTCACACCGGGCATAGTAGTGCATGCCTTTAATCTCAGAATGAAGGAGGCAGAGGCAAGATCTCTGAGTGTGTAGCCATGCTGGTCTCAGGCCAGCCAGCGGTACAGAGGGAGACCTTGTCTCAAACAAACCAAACTCCATCCCCGTTCCCCCTTAATAAAAAGAGAATTATCAAAGAAAATAAAATTCAATTATAAATTCTACTCAGCTAAAAGAATCTAGTGACCCCATCTTCTGAACAAACTTTCAGATGACTAGTTTTCAAAGAAAGCAGGTGACATTCTAAAAGGTAGCACAAAAAGACACCCTCTCAGGAGCCGTGCCTGGTTTGTCAAGTAATTCATCTAATGTAAAAATATAAACAACTTAAACTAGCAGAAACATCATATTTCTATTAATAATGGTGATTCTGGGATGGACTGAATTCTTCTTAGAAGAATTTTTTAATGGCAAAAAATATAATGAGAGGATGAACAATAAATTACAGATTACATGAAAATATTCATAAATGAATAAAATCCTATACACAGGCATGAAAAGGATGCATCCAACTGGGAGACATACTGCAGGAACAGGTGAAGTCCAAAGCAGAGTGGAATGGCGTCCTTACCTTGGCATCGTGCAGTGCAAACTCAAAGGGGCCAAGAAACATGCTGACAATCCAAGTGACTGACAGTTGTTGTACACAACCCAAGACAGAGCTGGGCAACTACAGGCAAACTGTTCATGTTGTGTCTTTAGAGTGTGGGATGAGGAAATCTTCAATTTCAGTATGTATGTTTATTTAAGTTATAATTTAAATGAATCATATATATTACTTCAATGAGAAAAGCATCTATGACACCAAGAACACTAATTTTAAAAAAGCAGTATGTCATATGTAAATTTTTTGTTCTAAAGAAAACAGCTATCTTCTGAAGATAAATACAGATTTAAGTAGGAAGGGATGGGAACACATACCCTTTGTCTTTGGCATGGACATCAGCTCCATGATGTAGAAGGTACTCAACGACAGACACACGGTTATAGCCCGCAGCGAAGTGTAACGGGGTAGAATGCCGGCCCTCCAGATCTCTGCAGTTCACATTCTGCGGGCTGCAGAGTTGCTTTTGTGGTGTGCACATAGACACAGAGACAGAGACAACACCATTAACAATCATTCATAGACTTTGCTCTAAAACTGGGCAGTATTTTAGATAAGTATAATGATACAGTAAATATTCTCCACAGATGAGTTGTATAAAAATCAGCACCATAGCCGGACATGGTGAGGCATACCTAAAAATTCCTGAGCTGGAGGAGGTGAGGGAGGATGACCTCCAATTTGGGATCCGTGTGCGTTACACAGTGAGTCTGAGGACAGTCTGGGCCACATGTTTCAGAAAGCCCCGAAGGAGAATCCACATTGTGTTTGTCATCACTGTGACAGCAGATCCTCTGAGCACTCAGTGGAATTTAGTCACTGTTGGACACCCTAGCCCAGTCCCTAATCTACCCGAAATCCAAGGGCAGCCAGTGGAGCCTCCCTCAGACTCCTCACAAATGCATCCTGTGGTAGGCTTGGCTGCTCTTTGCTGAAATCAGACCAACTTGAGTTGACTACAAGGAACTAAAGAACCTAGAGAGTGAGTTCCTGCCTCCCTGAGTGTGGAGCAACAGGCTGGCTCTCTAGGTCTCACAACTTCTTGATTCTATTCATTCCTTGCTGGATGTCAGAACAATTTTATATCCTGTTTTTCAAATTTTAAAATACTTTATACAGAGAAGTGGAAAGGAAGGGGAGGAGAAGAGTATCACTCTTACAGTACAGGCTACCCCAGAACTCACAGCAATCCTCATGCCTCAGTTTTCCAAAGGGATGAAAGGCATGAGCTACCACACTCAGCTAACTTCTAATTCTTAGCTTTTGAGAAAAAAATATACTAGACCTAACTCTCAATCTGTATGCCTTTGGACACTTACACTCCACTGTCCAAAAATAAAATTTTCTTTTAATGTGAATGCATTGTTTAGCAATTTGAAAGCACATTTTGTCTACTTGCATACAAACAGATGAAACTAAAATTTGTATTCTGGCCAGTAAGATGGCTCATGGGAGTAAAGGCACTTGCTGCCAACCCCAACAGCTGGAATTCAATTCCCAGGTTGCACGTGGTGGAAGGAGAAAACTGATTCCAGAAAGTTGTTCTTTGACTTTACATATGCACCATGGCACATGTGCACACATGCACACACATACAGAGTAGATTTCATTACATTATACATAATGAAAATGTATGTATCTTTTTTTTATGGTTTAGGTGCTATAAGGGACATACTGGAAAAAATCTTGGTAGTACTCTTTTATGTACAGATATACTCTGCCCGTTGTTTTTAAATAAAAAAAAAACAAAAAACAAAACCAAAATAACAGCCTACTGATTCTTTCTGAGTAGTTGTATTTGGCTCCATCACAATGAGTGGGTGGCAGGAGGCCGACAGTACCGGTCAAGGCGCTAACTTACCTTCACAGTTTCCAAGTCACCAGCTTTTGATGCCTCTAAGAGTCGATAGTCCACATCTGAAGTGCGTATAGGCGTACTCTCTGTATCAAAGGAAGAAAAGATTACTGTTGGCCCTGGGCTACTGGAGGATGTTATAGAAGGAAGACTGTTTAGGAGGGAGAGAGATTATGGGGTCGGACAGTACTGTGATATAATGGCTACTTCCTCCATCTTACTCAGCTAGCAAGTACTTCTTTACTTCAATTTACATCCGTTCTAAGTAAGATGTAAATACATTCTAACACAGAGGAACGCTTTATACCCCACCACACTAGTCAGCACATGCCCGGGTTAAAGACTGTTGCAAAGGAGAGTGAGGAAAGTGGGAACCAGGAGGCCAAAACTAGCTCCAGACTTTAAATGCCTGTGTAACTGGGGAAAAGATAACAGTGTGAAAGGTGACACAGTCAGTTAGGTTGTTACATTTACAGGCTTACAAGTCAGGTATTCTGATGAATCAAATATAAACATATAACAAAAATGTATTCAATATTGATCTTTTAAAGAGAAAAGAATCAATATGCTCATGTAAAATGTGGCTTTCGGAAGGTACACACAGCAGGTACAGAAGAGTGTGGCAGGCAATCAGGACCACAGGCTTGGGCTCCATGTGGACTCTGGAGGACACTTCAGATTTTTGATATTTTTATGTATTATTAGTGGCCAGGGAACACGTGCCATGACATGCAGATGGAAGCCAGAAAACAGCTCTCAGGAGTCAGGGCTCTCCGTCCATCATGGCTCTGGAGACTGAACTCAGGCTGTCAGGCCTGGTCAGCAAGCACCTTCAACCACAGAGCCATCTCACCAGCCTGATGTCTTAGTTTTTGCATTCCAAGAGTGAGACCTGGTTTTCCTCAAAGTCTCTTTCAGGTTTAAGATTACATTACATTACAATATGATCAGAGACACTGAGTTCACAGTCCAAGTGGGAAGGATCAAGTGATGCCATAAAAGGCTTTAGATTTTAAAAGAAAGACTTTATTTTTCTACAGTACTTTGTTCAGAAGGGTTGACTTTTATAGATAGGTTTAAGAATTCTTCTGTAGAAGACAAACTATTTGATCATATTAATAATTCTTAGCAGATAAAACACTAAGATTAAATCAGATGAAATACCAAGACTAAAGAAGAAAAAAGACTATCTCCAACAGTGAAGTCCATTTTAAAATTTTTTCTCTTTAAAGAAAGTGTTACACTGCACTTGTTATTCTGTGGAGTTGCTGAGGGCTGGAATCCTTGCTCCTGTTGTTTTCAACAAAAACAACAATCAAAGCATTTGCCAAGTTGATTTTTGGGATGCTTCACATCAGGGTCATTATGTCGAGCCCTAAGTCTCAGATGGCTGTCCTCGGTGACTTTCTGGTCACTGGTCTCCAGTCTAAAGGTGCACGTGAACTGTTGCACTTACAGGTGAGGCTGCTCTGTAGCACACTCTACCAAGTCTCTACGAGAGACTCCAGCAACAGAAAACTCAGGAAACATCCTTTGTGTCTGTAGCTTATCATCACACCACGATGATGGGGAATGACCAGGAAAGTGTCATTTTCTAGTCAAGCAAAATATTTAGTGCACATATACCAGAATGTTTCTAAGAACAACGTACAGGAAATGTCAACGGGTAAAAGTTAAACATGCTGATTTATTATGATAGCAACTGTGGAGTTCTGCATCTATATAAATCTAAAACGGGTTTAGAACAAAGTTATTTTTAGAAATAGTATAGCAGGACGTAGTAGGCAAATCCTAGGTGCCAAAGTAGATGAGGCAGAAATATTAGAAATCCAGGCCTGTATGGGTTACAAGAGGGAGTTCAAGACTGGTGTAGGCAGCTTAGTCAGACTTTGTCTCAAGATTAAAATGTAAAAAAAGAATGTAGAAATATCTATAAAAGAGCACTCAGTATCCTCTTCAAAGCATGGAGTAATTCCAATAAAAATAGTTTTTTTCATGTTTTTTTAAAAGGCCCTATGTCTCAGACAGCTCTATTATTTGTATTCTCTTTGTAGATCAACAATGAACATGGCAAACTGATTCCTACCATTCACAAAACTAAGCATTTATAATTACTATATGCATCACAAAAATCAATTTTAGAGTAGAATTATAAAAGTAGCTGAACTTTTTACTTATGATTCAGTAGTCAATCTCATCCCCAGAAGTCATGGATTTGAGATGCATTTACTCAGAAGGCATCTTAAAGGTATTAAATGGACCCAATTTGTTGAATTTGATACTTCAACCCCATTTTGTTAACCACTGTTAAATTTATGTGTAGTACTGTGAAAAACTGATGCAGTAGCTGTATGTTTATTTATGGTTATAACTCACAGAAGCAAAATTCACTAGTGAATCATTTTCAGTAAAAAAAAAAAATACAAGACTATTTCATAAAAAAAAATCCCAATTTACAAAATGATTGCAATCTCTTGAAAGAGCTATTTCCTAGTGGGGGAGCAGTATCTTATCTTCCTGCAGCAGATATCCCATGGCTCTGTTGCAGGCAGGTGCTTAACAGTCAAGCTTAAAACCCTAGCCACATTCTGGTAGTGAAGATTGGTGGAAAAGCCAAGAGTGAGAAAGAAGAGTAACTGTTGAAATTACTGGAGGAAGGTGCAGGAGAGGAGGAAGGAAAAGCTGCCATGTGTTAAGGGTCAAGAGAGTGTCCCAGAGGGCTGCCCAACTGGAGCTAAGAGCAGCCCAGATGAAATAGTAAATAGTAAGTAAGAACTCAGGGTTATTGATAGAAAAGTGATTCTAACAGCAATGGAGGGTAGGCAGCTGCCCAGCTATTGTGGTGATGAGGGCTTGTTGTAAATATAAAAGCTGCAAGTGTGTCTTTCATCCGGCAACTCAATAACCAGAAGCGGGGCAGAAACCCCAGGCTGGGATTATACTCATTTCTACAGAAACCATACTGCAACTCTTCCGCAGCTGGTTCCTGAGGTTTCAGTAGGCTGCTACTTCTAATTTGGGAGTTAGGGAGTCAGTGCCTATTTTCTATCTATTCCACTTCTCATCTGTCAACAAACCTACAGACTGACGCAAATGACAGGCACATAAGAATGAGCTGAGGAGGGAAAGCAATCCTTGTCCAAGTGTTCAGGGTACAGAATTATTTCTTGAGACTGCTTCCCTCACGCAGCAGTGGCACATCTGTGACAGCCATGGACCTTGAGAGATTCTTTGCTTCTAAACTCTGATGCATTTTTGAGAGCCCCCAAAATTTGTAGGGTCAACTGTGGGTTTTCCAGCTTTGTCATCTCCAAGCTATCACACAACAACTCTAAGATTTACTTAGAGTAAATCTTACTATCACTTAGGTGTTTTAATATAGATGTTTAGAAACTTCTTATGTAGATTTCTGAAGTTAAATCATGTATCAGAAAATCTTAAGAATTTTATTTCTGGGTAGAGGGCACCATAAGATACCTGCTATAAAGGGGGACACTGTGCCTACAGAGCTTAGGCATATGGTTCACAGGCAGCAAAGACTAGCCAGGCTTCTGACTACTAGTCTGTAGGTGTCTCTATGTTACACTTTCAGTTTCCATCTGTCTACAGTAATGGAACCCAAAGGCCATCCAGACAAAGGCTGAGGGGTGAGAAAGAAGAGTAACTATATTCAAATTCTTCCATGTCTAATTCCAAAGTTTTCAGAAGGCTGTTTAACTTCTAACTTGGGAGTCAGGAAGTCATTGTCTAGTGTACTATCAGTTTTCTGCCTCATCTCTGTCAACAAAGTAAATATCTTAAAATATAGTGGGCATTCACTGTGACACTCATCAAAGGTTGATAATTACATTTAAATCAAGAGAATATAAGATAATTTCAGAATACTTAAGAACACACAAGTAGGTCAGACCACTATACACGTAAGAACAACTAAAGGTCATCACTATAGAAATTTAACATTTCATTTGACAGATTGTATAGCTCCCATAATTCTAGCTTGTGTTCAATTCCAACCAGCCAACTAACTTAAAAATGGTGCAGCTCTCCTCCTGATAGCTCCTCATCCTACCACAATTCAGAAATGGGGTGACTATGTAGGAAAGGAAAGGTGTGAAAAAAGAAACATTCAGGTCAAGAAGATCGCCCACGAAGCTACTCAGAACAGGCTGTAGGGTCTGCTCTCATGAGAGGGGGCGTGAGCAAAGGGAAGGCAGGCCATGTGACTCACCGCTCAGAATCTGCTGCACCGCTTCATTCCCCATCTGCGCTGCTGTGAAGCCTTGCAGGGAGATGATGGAAGGATCGGAGCCATAACTCAGCAGGAGGCGGCACGTCTGCAGGTGGCCAGCTAAGGCAGCTCTATGCAAAGCAGTCTGACCAAGACTATCCAGTGCATTCATCTGAAAAATCATTGGCTGTCCATGTGAAACTGGGCATTCTTTCACACTGTAGTAAATACACTCAGAAGAAGAGTCAACTGTGAAACTTTTTTGGAAACCATCATTGATTAGCTTTTGCTCACTAGTGCCTTGGGGTGTGGGGTGGGGTGGGGTGGGGGGAAATCACAAAATACCCTTGATTTCTCTGAACCTGAATGACCATCATTCTGCCTCTCCACTCAGAAAATAAAATAAAAAGAAGTTGTCAGAGGGCAGGGATTCTCACCCGGTGCTCCCTGCTTGCTACACCTGAGATGCTCACTAAACACCTCAGAATGAATAGCTGTCATCATGCTCAGACAACAGAATATACACACAAAGACTATCAATGTAGTTCATTAGGTTTTCATTTTAAGGAAGTGCTTTATATCTGAATGAATATCCCTTATCAAAGGTGTTTCCTATTATTTTGTCTATGATAGTATTTGTACTAAATAATGAAATACCTTGGAAAGACGACCCTTGTCTACAAACAAACTTGTGTCATTTATACATTGTATACACAAGTTGAAGCAACTCCAATTTTTCTGTGACTGTGTGGTATTACATGAGTTCAAGTGTATAATTTTCTATCTGTATGATGCTGATAATTCAAAGGTTTTGGTTTTGAAGCATTACAGAGTTCCCATTTTCAGGTCATGGATACTCATCTGTAATGGACACCTTGACTCAAGGTGCCATTTTCAAACCTTGAAGAGTGTATATGAGAAACAGTAACTCAATTATGTTAAAGAAATGTTTTGCTTTTGGGTCAAGGTTCATAATTTGGTCAAATCTAACTAGCCTAGTATTTTAGAATGTTCCAGTAAACACCTGTTACTCCAGAGGGATCAAAGTCTTTCTCAATGTACATGCTGCTTTCACAGAACCCCTTTTCTTAAGTCCTCCCTCATCTCTGGAGACTTCTAGAACAGCTAACTCCCCTTCTGAGCATGTGCGCTGACTCAGCACTTAGCCACTTAAACTACATCGGTGGAATAGCTTTTCATCAAGTCCAATTAATGGTGAAAATATGGAGTGTCTTCTCGAAAGGTCCTAATAAGAGAATGATAGTGCAATCCCACACCAGTAAGAGGTCAGAATTGAAGAGAATTGGTCTATTTCCAGTCCTTTGCTACTGGGAAAGCTGTTGTGCTTGTTCAGAAAAGGGATCACTTAAATTCTTATTCGTCTTCACAAAAGTTACCATGAAACAACATCACAATTTAATTTGATCATATTTTCCAGCTTAAAAAAAACATGTACATAACAGATAAGCACTGTTTAAGTATTTACTTCTCAATGAAAAACACAAGATGATGGCAAACTAGAGTTTTTATATGGATGCTACTTCATTTTAGAAGAATACCCAGAACTCTAAACATCCTAATTATTCACACTGGAAATGAGATGAGACACACTCAATTATACAGCTGTAAAAATGAATGGTAACAATGAATTCCGATTTAGTTTGTTAAATCATGTAAGTATAGTTTGAGAGTTATTCTTCTAAAATATTGATCTTACCAATTTTAAGATTTCAGATGGATGACTCTAGCATTTTAAATAAAGCTCAGTCCTTTAGCAAACAAATGTAACGGGCCGAGAGAAGGACTGTAAAGGTTTCCTGTTTATCTAAGAGTAGCCAGCTTCACCTCCAGCACTGAAGCAGATCTGAGAACCCTGTGGTGGTCTGAATAGGAATGGTCCCCATAGACTCTTGTGTTTGAATGCTTGGTGGGGAGTGGCACTATTAGGAGGTGTGGCCTTCTTGGAGTGGGTGTGGCCTGGCTGGAGGAAGTGTGTCCCTCTGGAGGCAGGCTTTGAGGTCTCAAAGTCACTCCACTACAGCACATTTCCTTCTGCTGGCTTCACATCAATATGTAGACCTCTCAGGTCCTTCTGTAGCACCATGTCTGCCTGAGTGCCACCATGTTTCCTGCCATGATGATAGTGGGCTAAACCACTGAACCTGTAATCAAGCCCCAATTAAATGTTTTCCTTTTAAGAGTTGCACTGGTCGTGGGGTCTCTTCACAGCAATAAAACCCTAACTAAGACAAACGCACTGTACCTTCTGTAAGTAAGTATGGTAGAACTTAGTGCTGTGGAAAATGGCACATTTGTATCCCCATCACTTACTCTGGGGAATTTCGTATTTTAACAATGAATAAAAATTTATAATGTACCAATGGTTCTTGGAATAAGTTTGTAAAAAGAATTAAGATTTAGTTTTAAAAGTTCCATTTGATGAGGGTTGACTTATAACAGAAACTTGTAAGTTGGTCACATTATGTTTTATATTATACATTCTATGCATATGAGATATTTACTCATTCCTTTAGATTGGTCTTTTGGTATCTTAAAAATGTTCATATCCATAAAGTATAAGACAGTAATGCAATGCAAAATCATTTCCTTTTACAAACATATATTTTTAAATTATGAATGGAGATTATAATCCTTCCCTCAAGTCTAAGTATCATCTACTAAAGACTATGGAGTACTTTATCCAGCAGCCAAGCTGAAGTAAATAAAGTCCTGGTTGAGTAAAGCACTTCCTGTATAGCTCACTGAGAGCCTGCTCACTATTCCATCTGGTACACAGTTGGTGCTCTCCGTGAGCTACATAGACAGACTACCATCTAATCGGTATGAGCTCTTCTAGCTATCTCCCCTGGTGAGGAAGGGACTGTTCTTTACTAGAAGGCAATGTCAGAAATCTCTCAGGGAGGCTCCCACAGAAGGGTCCTCACAAGTCTGAGGTCTGCCTTGCCTACACAGCAGTTTCTAAGCTTGCTAGGACTACACAGTAGACTCTGCCCCACAAACAAATGAACAACAAAGCACCTACCGAACAAAGTGAGCAATTCTGCCACCACCTTCTTTCTTCCCCTAAAGCCTCTCAGATCCCCCTAAAATGGTTTGAGACCAAGTTGTAAGTCTTAACCCCCTGGTCCACTACAAACACTTAACATTCAATGCTGAACAGATGATTTTTATTAAAATGTGAAACTGCCACCAAAAGAAGAAAAAGCCCATTTAATGTTACACACTCAACAGTGCTAACAAGTCAAGACATTCTTCAGTCACACATGTAGAGGTCATGATGGACAATTCTGACTGTGAACACGAGTGGACTAAGTAATTAATAATTCATAGAGCAAACCTGTGAGTATGTCTGTGAGGGCTTTCCTAGAGACGACCAGACTGTAAGGGTTCAGTCTAAATGAATGTGCTAACCCACTGACAGATTCAGAATCTGGAGGCTACCAGGAGATGGAACTGTGGATGGCCATAGTGACCTGGAGGAGCAGGGCACTACGGGTGTATCCTGTCTTGTATCTTCCTGTTAGTGTTCCACTCTGCTTCCTGTCTGGCAAGATGTGGTTACTTCAGCACATTCCCCTTCTACTATTGACTAAATCTCTGAACCATGAGCAAAATACACTTTTCCTCCCTTTTGTGGCTTGTTAGGTATTTGATCATATGAACATGTTCAGAAAGTGCTGTTATATTCAAATGGAAACTATGGGTCATTTAAAAGTCAAATAGAAATCACAGAAAGAAAATACTAAGCAAAGAAAACATGGCCTAAGAGTAGCCAAGAAAACTTTTTACTTATGAACTTTTATTTATGCATGAGCGAATGAATGCAGCAACCCTGTGAGACTGGCACACTTCCTTGGGATACGGGAATGAGTAATAGGAAGTTGATATAGCCGCCGCTGCCGTTCCTGTCGCCGCTGCTGCTTGCTTCCTTCTCTCTTTCTTTTGACCTAGCTCGCCTACAGATTACTATGTAGACCAGGTTGGACTCAAACTCAGTAGAGATCTACCTGCCTCTGCCTCCTGAGTGCTAGGACTGAAGGTGGTTGTAACTACACCCAGCATAATATGGCATTTGAGAACTATTGATGACAACTTATATATTAGCTTTGTATTTAAAGGAAACAATAACAACCCGCTTGCTGTAGTGGAAGACCAGGAAGGACGTGCTACTCTAGAAGTCATTTGCATCACTAGCAGACTGTTCTCAATCTCAGAAACCCACTACTGAACTAAGAGGCTAATATTGAAATACGTTATGTGCATGAACAGCCAGTATGGACTGAGAACCTGGCATCTACATAATGCCACTGAGAGAGACTGCAACTAAAAGATTGTTTTTCATTTAACTTTTCTGAAAAAAAAAAAAGCCTTATAAGTGATAACAAATAAATAGTTTTAAGAATTAAGTACATTATTCATGGTTTGTATGAGCATTATAATTGTCAAAAATGTCTTGCAAAGTCAGACCTTGGGCAAAAATAATTCACACAAATGTAACAGGCAGTCCCCTTAGCTTATTATTTCTGACATAATATGTTGTTTATATAACAATAGTTGTGGATTCAAAGTAGGTGATAAATCTGTACAACTCTTCTGTTTATTTCCACTTATCTTGATTTTAATTAAGAATGCCAAATGACCTTTTAAAGCAAAATTTTGGACCATATGCACAGAAAATGAAAACATTTAATATACATAATCTTGTTCATTCGTAAAGTATAATCAAGTACTGCAATGCTAAAATACTACACACAAATCTGAGGCTTATATAAGGGAAATCCAAGTGTCAGGAAGGGAAGAAAAATGACTCTCATTTCTATGGTGTAAAATATCACTTGGCTCTATTAAAGAATATTTTAATTGTTTTTAAAGGTTTTATTTTTTTAACTGAGTGTATGTATGGGTTTCTGTGTGGGAATGTGCACACGAGTGAGTGCAAGTTCCCCATGGAGGCCAGAGCCCTCCAGAACTGGAGGTACAGACAGCTGTGAGCTGCTCAACATGGGTGCTAACAATGAACATGAGTGCTCTGCAGAAGACAAGTCACCTCACCAGCCTCCCAAATCTTTAGTCTTACAAAGAATTATCATGTAAGGATTTGAGGTTACTGCTTGGTTGTAATACTTGGTTTAACAGCTATTATCAGTAAAAGAGATTTCAAGTGGAGCCTAGCAAAGAAACATATTATTAATTATGTTTAGCAAACAGTAATATTTTTACTCTTAATGTGGTTACTATGCTAAAATTTTCACCGAAAAATCTGATACTCAAATTTCACCTTTCTTATGTTCTTGCAGATACTACCTAAACACAAAACAGGAGTTTTGTGTAAGTAGGTTAGAAGAACGTATTTTAATGTTTATAAATTATGAAGCTGATGGGTATGCTGGTTAGTTTGTTTGTTAACGTAAAAGCTAGTGTTATCTAGGAAGAAGAAACCTCAGTTAAGAACATTCCTCATCAGGCTGGCCTGTGGGCAAGTCTGTGGAGCATTTTCCTAATTAATAATTGATCTAGAAGTGTCCAGCCATTGTTCATGGTGCCATCCCTGGGGCAAGTAGTTCTGAGTTGTATAACAATACAGGTTGTGGGCTGGAGAGATGGCTCAGTGGTTAAGAGCACTGACTTCTCTTCTAGAGGTCCTGAGTTCAATTCCTAGCAACCACACGGTGGATCACAAGATCAGTAATGGGATCTGACGCCCTCTTCTGGTGTGTCTGAAGACAGTTACAGTGTACTTATTTATATAAAATAAATAGATAAATCTAAAAAAAGAAGAAAGCAGGCTGAACAAGGGATGGAGAGCAAGCCAGTAAGCAGCATTCCTCCATGACCTCAGCTCCAGTTCCTGCCTCCATGGTTCCTGCATTACCTTACACATAAAATAAAAATAACTCTAAGATATAAAGCCAACTATCCTATTATGTTAATTCTGATATTAACTTTAAAATGGCATACGTTGGTGGGCCCATAGCTGAGCGGTAGGTAGAGCACTTGTCTAGCTCGTGTGAGATCCCAGGTCCAATCTCCAGTACTGCAAAACCACACACATCCACACAACCAACCCTCCACCATGCAAATAATGTTCATCTTCATGTTTTACAACGCTTATGTTATTTTTACTTGTGTGTTTATCTGTGTGAGTACGTGCCATGTGAGTCCAGGTGCCCACAGAGGGTGCCGTAGCTGAGTCAGAGTGGCTGTGAGCCTGATATAGATGCTGGGTACTGAACACAGGCCCTCACAGAGCAGCAAGCACTGGTGCCCACCTGGTCTCATGGTTTTGATATGGAGTGTTCTCCAAAAAGGCTCATGTTGAGGGTGGGGTTCCCAAAAAGTGGCACTATTCTGAGAGGTTCTGAGAATGTTAGGAGATCGGGTGGTTGGGTGACAAGGATCCTTTAATACATCCTATTCCTGGTCCTGTCCTATTTTACTTTCTGCTTCCTGTCGTCTAAAGTAAATAGTGCTCCCATGTGACATGATTCTAACACCATGGTTTTCTGCCCAAGTACATGGGGCTAAGCGACCATGCTCAGCACTGCTGAGTTGTTTCACTGCAGGGATGCAAAGGAACTACAACGAACGCAGAGGAGCTGAGCTCTAGTCAGTAGACAGCAGTCAGCTGCCTATGGCTCTTCAGGAGACTTCCACGGAAGAAAGGACAGAGAGACAATTTTATCAGAAAGAAAAACCAACTTCAAAGGACAACCGATGACTTTAAACACAAAACCACAGACCAACTGCCCTTTCTGAAAAAGATGGGTTTCTTGGGGACTCAAGTACTGAAAGCAGCCGGCTGCTTGTGCTAAGTTAAGGCTCACCTTTGCTCCATGCTTATGCAGAACCTCCATGACGTCATTATGAGCTCTTTCAGCTGCAACATGCAAAGGGGTCATGAAACTATGGAAAGGAGACAAGGAAAGAGAATGTTGTGACTTTTACTGTAACAACTCTTGGTTGCTACTGGCTGCAGACAGAAGGCTTGTTTTCTTTAGTGATGTGGTCATGTGCCATTGTGTATGTTCATCCAAGCCACCTAACTAAACTTAGCAAGTCACAGACCACCAAGACGAAGCAAACATGGCAACAAGAAGACATGAAACCAGGAAGGGGCTTGTTGGGAGGAAGGGGTTCAGGGGTGGGGGTGGGGTGGGTAGGCAATGATGGGGCTGTATGACCAAGTTATGTTACTTCCATGTACAGAATAGTCAGAGGGAAAAGAAAGAAGGGGCTGGACAGCTTTTGTACTATACTTACTCCTTGTTCTTCTCATTGACATTGGCTCCCTTCCTAAGTAACAGCTCTGCCACTTGCTTTCGTTTGGGATGCAAGGAGGCCACAGCACAGTGCTGTAAATCAAGCAAGATTCAGTTTTAGACAAGCTTCGGCTTAAACATTAACTCCCGAATGAAACAGTACCTGGAGTTATTTGGCACACTGTAATCTCAGAGAGCACCAGGACATAATGATGCATTTTACTCTATGGTCACTATTCCTCCTCCACACATGGGAGTGCAAAGCAAGTGAAATGATATTCTCCATTAGGCATTTAGAGACATTACTCAAGCCTTCACTGGTCTATCAGCCAGTGTTTCTCAGTTACTTTACTGACAGACATACAAACCTCACGAGGATCAGCAGCTTTACTCAGGCACTGGTGAGAACACGTGACCGTGAAGTGATGTAAAGGAACCGATATTCTTAGAAACCTTACATTTTATCCTCCAATTTATGTAACTTTTGTATTTTGCTCCATTTTATGTCAATGATTGCATTAACAGTTGAAAAATAAAACTACCTGACAACTGAGTAAATACCCCAAAGCAGAGGATCAAGCTTCTTACAGTGCTGGGGACTAGATTCTGTGACTGTGGACTCCTGGCCCAGCACTGTGTAGACTCAAGTTATCTGAACTAGGCTTGGTGGTTTTAAATTTAACTTGGCCCATTTCAGTTTGGTTTATCTTTGAATAGTGTTTTCAGCAGAATGGGCTGACTGACTTTTCCGAGCCACACAGGTTTAAGAAAGTTAAATGAAGCGTATTTAACAGTGTGTAACATTAGATGCACACAGCTTAAGTTCTAAAGTCAGGGGCAGACACTAACCAGACCAACATTTGTGCCTTAATGTGCTTAATGACCAAAAATAAGTGACCTTCCTGAGAGAGTCTGAGGAGGGAAGGAGAACAGCTGTAAAGGTAACTTAGACGGTCAGGAATAGAAAGTTCAGTTTTAACATTTCCTCACATGAATAATCTGTTATTTGAATACAATTATTTCAAATGATGATGCAAATATCTATGAAACCATATTTTCTACAGAAAACAGATACAATATTTATCTAATAAGCACAGCCCAAAGAGAAGATTCTATCAGATCACACTTTCCATTATAATGAAAGCACTGAGCACAAAAATAATTGGTCACAATAAGCTTGGGTGAACACAAAGAGAAAACAAGTCTAAATCATGGCTGAGCAAATATCTGGTCCCTCCCCCACAAGGAACCATGACTGAACCCAAGTTACAAACCAGTGCAACAAACATGAAAATGCAAACTGCTGGCATTTCAGAGAGCAGCACTACTTCAAGGCTTCTGAAATGAAAAGAATTATTTAATCTTGCACCACTATTACGGACCCAAGGGATGTATGGATAATATCATCTTACCAATGCAGTTTCATGAGACTGTGGCTGCTTGAAGTTAATGATTTCCAAAGCAAGTGTTTTTTTAACTTTGGCCAGGTCTGCTTCTCTGGCGGCTTGTAGTAAAGAATGGCCTTTAAATTCATCTGCAGAAGAAACAATAGCTGACATGAGTTTTGGAAGTTATAATCAACTCTGGAAGTAATGGTGGGTACTCCTGTAGTCCCAGCACCTGGAAGGCTAAGGCAGGACAATTACAGAGTAGAGGCTAGGCTGACCTACAAAGGGAGCCTAACACTGGCTTGTATGAGACTATCTCAAAAAAACAACAACAATATGTACACAAATACAGGAAAAAAAGTAAGCAGAAAGATTTTGCATACATATCTATTTTAGTTAAAACAGTAATATAAAATAGTGACAACAAGGAATATAAATATTTATATTCTGAAATATCAATCCTCTGACATCCTCTCAGTTACATACTCTCAGAGTTGATGGCAAGTCACATACAAAAACAGTCTCTGAAACAGCTTTTCTAACCGTTCACCGCACACTGGAACACTGCATTCTTACACACTACCAGCCGATCCCATTTCTTACTCCACTCTGTGCCTGCTTCTGCTGCCGTCAGAACTAAACCTAAGTCATGGGACAGAAAATTACGTTTAGAGTCAAAATGTTAACAGCACTTAACTGAATTGAAATGTTTGAGAACCGCCAGAATTTGACTTTTTCCAAAGAACAATACTACCTAATAATAATCTTAGATTTTTATTTTCTATTTTATAATTTGTTTTTTATACAATTTTATCAATAAGGCACTAAAAATTGGTCTAAAAACACACAAATGAAATCTGACAGTACACATAACCATTTAGCTGTTGTAATGTTTGGACGTTTGCATCTGCATGGTACTGTGCTGTTTCTTCTTTCTTGTGAGGACCAACACATTCCCCTCTATAGACAGAGAAACGTGCAAGACAGCTCTTCAAACACACAATGTGCCTATGAACAATCAGTCACTACTGAAGGCCGCAGTTTAGACTCTGGATATGCATATTCCCTAGTCGCCTTACTGAATATTTGCAGTTAGGATCACAGAACTTGTTATTAGCCTGGCACCATTGTGGTCTTAGGACAGAATTTGGCACACAGTAGGTTCTCAATAAATACTTGTGCTGTTTTCAATTCACTATCTGTATACTAAGTTGTGGTTAGTTTAGGAAATGAACCATTTCTAATAACTTTTTTATTTACCACTTTTTAAGTGTGCGTATGTGTAATGTTTGACTACAAATATGTGTGTGCCACAGGGTATGTGTAGAGGCCAGAGGACAACTTTTAGACATTGGTTTTCTCCCTCCACAATGTGTCTGAGGAATCAAACTCACTCCATCAGGTTTGTGTGGTGAGCGCTTTCACTGGCTGAGCCATCCTGTAGCCCAATTTCTGTTTACTCTTTTAACTGTTCAAGTTTTCAATGTGAGATTTTAAAACTTCTGGAACAAAGCACAGAGGTAACTGAGATGGTAAGGTAAGCAGTAAATACTAATGACAAAATTTGATGTTTGGATTTAATTTTACACACAGGGGCTCATAAAGTCCAGGAATTATAGGCAGGCACATGTACAGAGCAGGATCCTGACAACTACAAAGGGCAGATGTATTCAGAAGTGGGAGCAAGCAAGCTTGGGGCTTAGCTGGAGTGAGCAGTGAGAGACATCTAAGCTGAAGGCAAACAACCCCACAGTTGTGAACAACAGCACATGGATGTCGGGAACCAAGCAGTCTGCATAAGCCAAAAGCATTCTTAACTGCTAGATTACCTCTCCAGTCCTACGGGTTTGTTTTTTAGAACCTCAAAGACATTGTACAGTCTAAAAAGTGTTAAAACTACAAACCTAATACCTAAACCCTAAGACCTAATAATTTCATATTTACAAAATATCTGAGTTTGATTTTCTAAATGTATATAAGAATGAAATTCAGATAACCCCATTATATGGTTTTATAAAAAGAATAAATAAAATCAAGAAAGGGGATAAATATGCAGAATAATATAGTTTTAATAATGGCACAGGGTAAGCATTATTTTTGTTTCCTGTATTGTTTTTCTGTGTGTGTGTGTGCATGTGTGGTTTTGGGCACGCCTATGCACACAGGGGGCCAGATGAAGTGCCCTGACCCCCTGAGGTAGGTATCCTCCCTGAACTCAGAGCTGGAGTGACTGTCCTGTCTCTTCCCTCCCAGCCTGGGCATTCAGGCACATGGCAAACATGCCTGGCTGGTCACGTGAGGGCTGGGATCAAAATTCAGTTCCTTGTGAATGCACAGCAAGCACTCTTAACCACAGAGCCATTTTCCAACCTCCTATATAATTTTCCTCAAAAAAACTTCTGAAATTGAACACCAGCTACAAAGCAGTAATCAGGACACTGAAAGCTGCAGCTAGAGAGGCGCTTTATCCTTCCTTCCTCAGGACTCCTGGCAGAATCTGGTTTTTAAAAAGCCCCCATTGAGAAGGTTAGCAACAGCTAAGGAACTGCTCCCTGTATAAAGCTACACACATTGATGTAAACGGTAAGGTCTACAAGAGACTAAGACAACCTGATAAAGCAGAATGGTAAGACTTCTGTTAAGACTCTGATTTGTAAAATGGTGAGAGCAGAGTTAGGTGACAGTGATGATTTGGGGATACACATGAATGGGCCATTACATAAACTAAAGGAAGGCCATGAGAGGAGAGTCACACTCACCTGGCCGGAGCTGCTGCGCACACAACTTACACAAACACGACACTAGGTTAGTGTTAGATGGAGACGTGATGCAGAGACCTCACGTAAGATCCTGGGCATAGCACAGGTCACTTTCCCCCTACAAACGTGCACGTCTCTAAGAAGCTTGAACCCACAGAAAATAAACTACAGAATCCAACATAGCATGTCAAGATACATGGGAGGTTCTCAAAGACAGGAGTAAATCTAATCTAATCCCACTACATGACTACAATAAACTTCAATTTCCAAATTGACAAAAATTGTTAGGAAATTCGCTCTTTCCATAAAAATTAGCTTAACGGGTGTTTCAATTCAATATAAATGCTCTGAGCATCATCGTGAGTATTCTTTTCCTTGAGGAATTACTTATAAAGATTGTCTCAGATGTTTTCTCATTCTTAGACTGTCATATAAGGCAGACCACAGGTAAGGTAAATCTACAACGCCCACATGGAGAACAGACAGTTCATGCTCAGCATCACCTTTTATTTCCAGTGGCTCAAGAACAGAAGTTCTAGGAGCCCGGAGACTTTAGTTTTGATTTGTATACTATTGTATTTCTATTATTTGTCACACAGGAAAATGCTCAGTAAATGGTTGTTGATGGACTTTGTCCTTAGTTGTCACAAAACCAAAACACAATATAGGAAAAGAAACCAAACCACACAAAAACAAAACCAGAAAACAAAACAACAGAAAACCAGTAGCCTTGACAAAGGAATCAAAATTGGACTTTAAAAAAAAAAAGTGTGTGTATGTGTGTGTGCATGTATGTATGTATGTATGTATGTATGTATGTAGGTAGGTAGGTAAGTAGTATGTATGGTGTGTGTGGCATTTGTACATATGTGTTACGTATGTATGTATGTATAGCATATGTGCATGTTAAAGGCTCTTGTAGAATATATGAAACAAGCATATGATTAGGAATGAACATGATAAATTAGCACACATATAAGAAGAGGAGCACATGGCCTAGTGAGAAAACAGCTTGAGGGATGCAGCAGAGCTGAGATGCTCTCCCTGATGGCTAGCCACACTGGGTTCAGGATACAAATACTTACACGTCAGTCTTTCCCGCAGCTCAGGAGTTGGAGCCATATCGACAGCACTTTTGCCATGGCAATTGACCAAGGTTGGATCGGCACCATGACTAAGTAACAGAGAACAGACTTCTACACGGTTCTTGGAAGCAGCTTCATGCAGTGGTGTGAACTGCCACAGATCCATAGCGTTAACACAAGCTCCATGCTGGATTAGGGAAAAAGTCTGATATTGGTAATTGCTTCCATGAGGAAAAGCAAACTCAGAAAATGTAGTTCACTGAAAATTTCAGCTGTAATTTTTGAAATGGTTTTAAATTCAGCTTTTAAAAAACAGTTTAAGTTGAATGTTACTATTCAATATTTTGGATTTCTCTTACCTTTAGCAGCAGTTCTGTGACCTCATAGTGTCCGTATGAGCATGCATTATGAAGAGGTACAAGTCCGCTGAACAAAAAGAGAAAATGAAAACACTGAAATTTCAAACACAGCCATCTGGCTATGAATTGCTTAAAAAGAAAAATTCTATTAAGTTCTATTTTTTAAAAGCATTTTAAGAATTTATGGAAAGAACTCAAAGCACAGCTTATATCCACACATTTAGCATTTATCTTGTAGCCTTTAAATAGGATCCATAAAAATAATACAAACACTATCAGTCAGAAGAATTAAAGGAAAGACCAACACGCTAATAAACAAGTTATCAATATGTAACATGCATGCTAACTGGCAGGGAATGAAAGAATATTATTTTAATCTACTTTCATGATACTTTCAATTTAAGAATTAAATATCCAAAATTATGATAACTTCCCGATCAGAGTACCCTTCCTAAGTGAGGTTCAAAGCCGCCTTTTCTGCTGTGTGCATCTCCTGATGACTGGCCATTGTCTACCCATCTGACTTTGGACATGCATGAGGAAGCGGGTGTACAAGGACCCTGGGCACCTGCGCCCTATGTGATCAGGGCACACCATTCACAGGAAGCACAATACTTGACAGACACGACAGGCAGCGTGGAAAGGGGGAGATCTGAAATGGATGGATTCTCTTTCTTGTAATTGTCTCAAGTACAGAGTTCATTTTTTGTGCTTCCTGACATGAATGTGAGCTGAATGAAAAATCTCCCTCTGGGGCATTGCTTCTTTATGCTGTCAATCACAGAAGTCTAACATAATCTACCTCACCTGGGCAGGGTCAATTATCCTTGTGATCTTAAGGCCAGATAATAAGCAATGTTAGCTTTGCATTTAGGGCCAAGAACAAATGTCCATAGATCACTGGAAACTAGAAAAAAATTGGTAAGCTTCCAATATTTATTAATTCATAATGACTCACTTTTTTGTTTCCTATCCATTCCTTCTTGTATTAATGTTTATAAAGATCATCTAGATTGAATTAGCTTAAGTGGATTTAAACAAATAACTAAATTAAAAAACTGTTTACTCATTACTATAGTTTATTAATATGAGGAGATTCTCTTAATAGCCAGAATATAAGATTATCACATTTTTCAGTATTTTTAAATCTTTCTAAAATGCAATTCAAGAGATGAAAATGATCATAACTTGGAAAAATAATTTCAAACAGAATTTCAATAAAATTGAACAACAATGACTGTGAGAAGTCTACTGTAGGTACATAAGATCTGAAGTCAAACCTGAGAACCTTATCTTCTAATTTACTATTACTATTTTATGTGCATGGGTGTTATGCTTAGATGTCTGTCTGTATTGCATGTGTATGTACGTGGTGCCCACAGAGGCCAGAAGAGGGCACTGAATCCTGTGAACTGAGAGTTGGAGACAGGTGTGAGGTGCCACGGGCACCGCTAGGAATCAAACCCCAGTCTTCTGTCACCGAACGAAGCCAGTGCTCTTAACGACTGAGCTGTTTCTCCAGCCCCATGTGAACATTTTTAATGAATGGGGAATATGATTTTCTATGGAGCTAAAACCTTCAGGCTATCAAATGATGAAAATACCCTAGTATCTGCCCATGGGATCTTTAAAAGGCAACAAATGGCGGCACCTACCCTTTGTCTTTTGCGTGGACATCAGCACCATGCTGTAGAAGCAGCTGAACTATCCGAACTCTGTTGTAGCCTGCTGCCAGGTGTAATGGAGTAGACTGCAAAGACAGAGGAAAGCTCATTACTTCTTCAGGTTTAAGAAAGAAAGAAAGAAAGAAAGAAAGAAAGAAAGAAAGAAAGAAAGAAAGAAAGAAAGAAAGAAAGAAAGAAAGAAAGAAAGAAAGAAAGAAAGAAAGAAGGCTTTTGGTCTCCACTCAGCTTATAACTACACAAGAAACAAGGGACAATTCTGTTTCCTGGAGAGAGAACTCTATCTCCAATGTCATTGCAATGGCTTGATTCTGGTTTGTCCACATCAAGCAAAACTCCTGTCACCTATGTAACAGTGTCCAGGTACTAGGGCCTGCTTTCCTCTAAGAAGAGAGTTAGGGCTCCGAAACCACTGTGTTGATATCGCTTCTCCCCCCAGGGTGATCTTTCCTCCTGGCCTTCTCTCCGCTGTAATGCAGCAAGGGGCCCTTGCCAGATGCTGGCCTCAAGCCATTTGGACCTTCCAGCCACAGAATTATAAACCAAGCACATTTTTCTTTATCCATTCCTCAGCATCAGTTTACAGCAGCATAGAATAGGCTAACAGACCTATCTGTGTCCCTTACTGGTCTTCAAGGCCTTCAATAATCAAGCCTTGTGTTGCTTTTCTCTTCCTTTCCAGAATGATCCATTCTTAGTATGTTAACTTAAAATCATGTAAGAGCCATCCATACTCAAAACAGGAAACATAATAATCTAACTTTCAAACTTTAATGGAAAAGACTGACATGTATCTCTGAAGAACCATTTGAAGATGCTTTAGTGGAAACCAAAAAGACAACACACTTTATCCATTCTCTATGACTTCCAGCAGTTAGGCAAAACTACATTGCTCCATGAGATGCCCTACTGTACATAGCTTCTGAATGGGGAAGCTCCCCTGAGATACAGTACTGCCATACACTGGTCAGTAAATCACTAAGCTGTTACCTGGCAAACCCGACATTTAATATTTTGTGGAAAAGGTGGTAATTTAATTGACTATGAGCAAAAAAGATTTTCCTTTTTTATAATGTCCAACTTTATTTGTTCATAATTGATTCAGTACTTTCCATTTTCAAAAATGAACAAATCACAAGACTAATGACAATATAATAATATAAGCAATCAAATATAAGAAAGACCAACTTCCAAGTTTTCAGATTTTTAAGAATTCTTTTAGTAAAATTATTTATAATGTCTCAACGTGGTAATATGCTGAATTTATGAACTGTTGAAATACATATCTTAGATAAATAAGGATGTTCTATGACTGATCAGGTTAGAAATGAGAGGATGCCTGAAATACACTGCCTGTGAAAATCGATGGAGGTGTGGGGTGTGAAAAGCTTCTCAGAACTGGTAATGTGAGTCCGGCAGACACGATGCAATGGTGTCCAGTTTGGAAAGCACAGTTTGGAAGCAGAGCCATGGTGGTGACTGGGGCTAAGAGAAGCAATGTAAAGGGCTCACACATGTCATGGCATCCTTTTATGACACTCCTTGAAAATAGACGGCATCATTTTCATCAGCTGTCACCTGGACTGATGGATGCAAAGAGCGAGTGAGCACTGGCATGCACACACTCACTCTGTCTAAACTGTGGAAGTGACCAGCTACAAGCTGTCGCCAGCCTGACTTCAGAACGATGGACTGTACCCTGGAACTGAGAGATAAATTAAGCCCTTTCTCACCTCTGTTGTACCTGTCTTATCACAGCAATGACAAGTGAAACTAAGACGGTGATTCAGCCTATAATTTTGTGTAAAAGATTTCAACTGACATTTCAACACTGGTATGTGTGATATTTGATGTATTTCCCAGGGAAAACCACAACTGCAAAGCTATAATGTAAGTCATCAGAGAGTTGTTTACAATACACATATATTGCTTTTATATTCTTTAAGATGAAGACTTAGTGTGGCTTATATCAAATCATCTGGAATTTCCCAAGCATTGGTGACCAACTTGTTTGTTTTGCTCTGTCCAGGACTTTCCCAGCTCCAGGAAACTCACTGTTATCAGGGTACCAGGCAGACTTAACACTGGTCAAATTTCTTAGTGTCTAGAGAGCAGTGGTTTTCAACTGGGGGGTAGATGGGTGTGGGGGGGGATCAAATGACTCTTTCTTAGGGTTTGCATATCCTGTAGAACAGATATTTACATTACACTTCACAGCAATAGTAAAATTAGTTATGAGGTAGTAACAAAAATAACTTTATGGTGGGGGGGGTCACAGCATGAAAACCTTATCAAAATGGCTGCAGGGTAGGAAGGTTGAGAACCCAAAGCCCCAGAGTGTGTGTGTGAGCTCATGTGGATCCTTCAATGTACTTGTGTTCCACATAAGATCTGTTACTTTAGTACATTAAGGACACTAATTAGAGTTAGTTCAAAATAATGAAGGCTGACCATTTTGTTATCTCATGTGTTATTTGTCCCAAAGACTCAGGCACAGTCTTTCTTAGCTCCATACACTCCACAATATAAGATATTGTTTGAATTCTTACTCCAGATTCTCTATAGCTTCAACTATAAAATGATTTTGTAAAATAAAGTTTCATAATTTTTCAACATACAAATATGAAATCTTTGCTTCACTAAAAACAAGTTTGAAGAAATATAAAACTCATGCCTTTGTTTCACTTTTTAATAATCATCTAATTACTGAGAGACTGTTCCATGAGCTTCCGTCATGCCTTTTGACCCAGCAAATTCAAGACAATGACAGTTCCCCTTCACATATTCTACAGATGCCTCTAAACCGAACAGCATTTTCCTTTCTGACTTCCGAGTTGTTTCAAATCCAACAAAATGGATCTCATAATCTAATGCTGATGTCAATATTCATATTTTATGGTTGCTTATATAAAACTGGTTTGTAAGAATCAAGATTAATATAATCTGTTACTGTATTTTGTAAATTTCTCAAGTGAAAAAGTTTTCATGCATTCTGATTTTTGCTATTGTTAAAACACTGCCCTATGGAAGAAAAGGACTTTTGTCTATCTCCTTAGCTTGTGGCTACATTAGTGTTGCTTATAAATTGGAACTGAACTTTCCTCCTTCAAACAAACTTTTTAACAACATTTCTCACCTATTCCTACACAGTTTACAGAAGCCCAGCAGCTTTTTCTTAAGGCTTAGCATTTGCTATCAGTTTGCAAGAATACTTCTAACAATCTATGAGTGAATGTAGATATTATCTTACTTTTAAACTCTGTCTTACAAAGTCTATACATACATGTAAACAAATACAAAGCCAGAAAATCAAACTTTTGACCTATAAATAAAATTCAGCCTTTATGGTCTGCCTTCAAAAATATCACATATGTATTTCCTCAATTTTAGCTGGTTTCAAAATGATCAATTTCTTTATACTAATCATTTTCTCCAGAATAGAATCCCTTTTAAACATATAGATTAATATATTCTGTCTAAAAGTTCAAGCAGTGCAGAAAACAAAACATAAATGGTTGTCCTATTCTGCAGCCAAGCGCCCCCTTCCCAGAGGCAATCACAATGACAGCAGCTCAAAGACCCTTGGAGACTTTCTGTGTCTATGAGAGTGTGTCTGCTTTTCCTCAAGTCTGTTTTGTCTGTGTTATATTCTTCTGTGACTTGATGTTTTTCTCCCTACCTCTGTTATTACAGAGAAGTCTGTCTTACTCTTTGAATTGGCTGTATGGTATGCCTATTGTGTGGCTGTTCCGTAATTATTTACTCACGGCCTATAAATGAGTATTTAAGTATTTCAATTCTTGCTCTATTTTATTAAAGCAAATCTCATTTGGATCTATTATTTGGTTAAAACAGATCAGTGTTTTTGTCTGATACAAATAAAAGACTACATCAGCCATTAAATCAAAATTCCTAGGCAACACAACAAACAGAATCAGAACTTTATTAAATTTCTATCAACAGAGACATGATTAATCTGCCATGATGGAAAGCTCTAAGAACTCTTTGAGACTCTGATATTTAGATGAGAATCCAAACAAATTAAAAGCCAGGAAATCAATATGGGCATGCATCCCTGGAAAGAAGTACATCTCTTTGCTGAGCCCTGTCTTTCAGTTAGCGTAATTATGAAGATCAGCATCTCTGAAGTTTCTTAATGCTTACAGACAACCACAAAGAATATTACAAAGTGTGTGTGTGTGTTAACAGGCTAACGCACTAAGTATCTGGCTTTGAAACTATGATTACCACCACAGGACAAATGAAGAAGACAGGAACAGGAAACAGGAAAGGGTGACGCTGACACCACTCTCCGTCTTTTTTTTCCTTTTCTTTTACTGACTAGCAGCTCAGATTCATAAAGGATCTTCAGAAACGGACAGGTATGATTGAGTGGCAAGTAAGATGGTATTTGTAGCAAGGAGCTTGTTGGTTCTAGTACGTCAGCGCTCAGACTCTCAGGTCACTGCAATGAATGACAGCAACAGTGAGGCCATACCATTACATTACAATGAGCACCCCAGAACTGATGGGCTTCTTAGTAATAGAAGCTGCCTAGAGGTACAGGACAAGGAGGAGTAATGGAACTACACAAGGAGAACAGGTTTTATTCCACTTCTTTCCCATAGAAGGATTTTCTCCAGAATCCTTGGAAAGACGGACACTTGCTTTCTTCCTGAAGCAAGTTCCTCCAATTGTGTCAACTATTTACAGAACAAGAGGTGGCTACTCCCTGGTTGGTCAGTATCTCTTCTAAGATACCCCAAACAGATGCTAAATCCAGATCAAACTGAGTTTCCAGCCAGGAAGAGCTCTTTTCAAAGAGTTCATTTAAGCACAACCTGTTGGTTTCATCCCTTGAGTAGGTCCCAACTGCACTGAAGTGACGAGATCAGCTGTCACTTACGGCCTCTTCCTAGTGGGCGTCTATGAACTCTGATGAGCCACATGACAGGGGGACTGGTAGTTTACAGCCTCAGACAGCACATTCTTCTAAAGTGACACAGACTCATCTTTAAGAATTAATGCAAATATATGAATTCAAAGTTATAGGACTATGCGATGCTTT